AAAACCCGCGGCCTATCGGCCCCCCCCAAACACGTAAAGAGACTTAGAGATATCTAAGCCTCATTACTCACGGTATTTTGACCATGGTAGGAGAAAGTATATGAAGTGGAAATTACAGATGAGAAACATAACCACGAAATAAAGTAATAAGATACATAAAAAAAGAAAACATTTGCCCCACTAAGAATTGTGAGACTCTGGTTAATGGAATGCAGCAGGTGCCCAAAGGAACAACGGCACCTGCGTAGTTCCATGAAAGAGGAAAAGGCAAGCAAGGCTCGGGCAGACTCGGTACCAGAGGAAATGAGTACCGAGACGGGTTGGGGAAAGGATTTCCCCAACGGAAACTAATTTTGAAGAATGTAATAATTCCATTATCAAAATTCTTTCCCTCTGAATAACTCACTCACATCATCGCATCAAAAGAAGGAAGAGTAAGAAAGTCTCACAATTCCTTATAAAATTTTTCTTTTCCTCCCACCCGCCCCTGCGCCCTACCACGCAGAGAGCCTACCCGGTCAGAAAACCCGCGGCCTATCGGCCCCCCCCAAACACGTAAAGAGACTTAGAGATATCTAAGCCTCATTACTCACGGTATTTTGACCATGGTAGGAGAAAGTATATGAAGTGGAAATTACAGATGAGAAACATAACCACGAAATAAAGTAATAAGATACATAAAAAAAGAAAACATTTGCCCCACTAAGAATTGTGAGACTCTGGTTAATGGAAGATACTCTAGAGAATTCACGACGTTGCTGGAAGGTATGAAGGTAATACCTTTATTGATGGTATCGAAGAAAGACTCAAATAAGATGCGAGTGTGCACAAACATGAGTGCGGGACGCCCTTCTCCAAACGACCTTATTAGGAAAGAAGATATTCCGGTTGCTTACGATTCCTTGAAGACTTGGATCCCGTTTTTAATTGAAATGAAGAAGCAATTCGGCGAAGTCGTATTATTCAAATCCGACATTGAATCAGCATTTAGAATCATTCCATTACATATTCAATATCAGATGCGGCAAATTCTTAAGATTAAAGGTAACAAAAAAAGAGTTGACTATAACATGACTTTTGGTCATTCTGCATCTCCACATATATGGTGCGGGGTCTTTTCTTTAGTCCTTTGGATTGCTGAGTTCGTATTCGACATCAAGTATCTAAATAACATGATGGATGATGTGTGGGGGGTCTGTTCATCAAGACATTTCGTTAACTTTAAAGACCACAGAATTCCTTTACAACAAGCTAAACTTTTGAATCTTTTTGATATTTTGGGTTTTCCGTGGGTTTGGAAGAAGCAACTTCATGGACCAGCTTTAGAGATAATCGGGCATATGGTCGATTCGACTGAAATGATCATGAGTTTAAATCCGGATAAGAAAGCTCTTTTGGTTGAAAATTTAGAAAAGTTCGTCGCAAGTCCGAAACACTCACTTAACGATTGGCAATCTATCCTTGGTCACGCTTCGTGGGCTTGTACTTCAATGCCGTGGGGAAGATTTGCTCTTCAAAGTTTATACGAAAAATCAGGCAATAAAGAGCATCGATTCCTTCAGATTCCGCTAAATAAAGAAATTCAAAATGATTTACGCTGGCTGATCGAGTTTTTTCGAAACAGCAGTGGTATTCGTGTATTAGATTCATTTCATTGGGGTTTATTGGAAGCTGATTCTGTTTTCTACACTGATGCGTGCATGACGGGAGTGGGAGTTTGGGAACCGGCTTCGAAAATTGGCAAATATTTCATTTTACCTCCTCCACCGAGGAATATCTTCTGGGCAGAACTGCTAGGAGTTATTACGGCAATCGACATTGGTATAAATAAGGGTTCGAAGAAGATTTTTGTTCACTCAGATAACACAAATGTAGTTGATTTGTTTAGTTCTCATGCGCCTAACAAAATAGTTAGACCTTTATTTCGTCACTGCGTTAAACGGTTGGTTGAGGCTAATGCTGATATAAAAGTTATGCACATTTCAGCAGAGGCTAATTCGGCCGCAGATTACCTATCTCGTCAGGGCAATATTCTTTCTTCTAAGGACGCGGCGATTTTATGTCATGCAATTGGCGCCTCTTCAGTGGAATGTGTTTTTATCGATTCTTCTTTGTCGTCTGGAGGGAAAGATTCGAATTTATCTGCTTTCAACAATTCAGCTCAAATATGGGAAGATCCAAATTGTCCAAGTTTTTATTGAAGAATCCAAAAAAGATCATTCCAAATGTGTCATTAGAAGACTTAAGAAAACTTTCGGATCAACATCGTCGTTCTACCATTCAACCTGTTTCTCTTGATAAATACAAGTCCGGTTTCAGAGCATTTACTAAATTTTGTCTTCATTTTAAAATTTCTTTAGTTCCAAATAAGCGTAACCTATGTGATTTCGTTACGTGTTATTGTCAAATTATTTCCCCGAGATCGGTTCGAGCTTATTTAATCGGCATCAAGCATATATTTAAATTAGAATTTCCGCTGGTTGTGTGTGAAGCAAGTCATCAAGAAGTGAAGGATACTTTAAAAACGTGCTTACAAAATTATTCAAAACCGGTCATCAGAAAAAATCCCCTTTCCGTGGATCATCTCGAGTCGGTGGTTGCTAAGTTATCGTCTAGTTATGATGATAAGCTTTTTCTTGCTATCTTATGTGTTGGCTTCGCGGGTCTTCATAGGTTAGGTGAACTGACAGTTCCTGATTCAAAAAGATACTTCAACGACAGAAAAATTATTTTACGTTCCTCACTTAAATTATCATTATGCAAGAAATTCTTCCAGTATCAATTACCATATTCAAAGGGCGATAAGAATTATCTTGGAGCTCCGGTTGTTATTCAACAGTTTTTTAATTCTGCAGCTTGTCCGGTTCGACGGTTAAAATCTTACCTTCGAGAGAGAGATTCTGATTTTATCACCTCATCTGAACTTTTTATTACTTCGGACGGCTCTCTTCCGACTCGATCCTGGTTTCTTCATCGATTTCATTCACATTTCGACAAATCTTTTTCAGGACATTCATTACGTTCGTGTGGCGCTACGGCGCTGGCTCAAGCAGGAGCCACCATGGACTATATCAAAGACGCTGGTCGCTGGTCCTCCGAAGCGTTTCTGATTTATGTTAGGGGACATGTCGCTTTATGTCTTCCCGAAAATCAAAATCATGTGATTGGAAGCGTGGCACATGTTGGGTCAAAAGTCTCATTTTCTTAAAAGTGAGTTTTTGTTCGAAAGATTTTAGACAGGTCTATGGCTTCTATGCCTTGTCTTACTTTTTTCACGTGTCAATGGCTTTTATGCCTTCGTGATATGGTTAATGGCTTCTATGCCTATTTTGGGTTTTTTGCAATTGAATAATCTTTTATGATTTTGAAACTAACATTGTTTTTTGCTTTCACTTATTACTTTCTTTCTTCACCCTATCCTACTTCACCACTCTATTTTTACGGTGATAGGCGGGTCGGAGAGGGTGTGATTTATATTTTTATCGAAATTTATCATCCTTGGCGTTCAGCCTTGGGTTTCGCCCAAAACATCTTTGCCTGCTTTAGTATTTTTATACTAAAAGTTTGTGAGTTGAAACTTCACATTTCTAGTTGTTGGTAATGGATTATTAACAGATGGGAATGTGATGAATTCGGGTTTTAAACATATGTTATAATACTAACGGGTCGGACACTGGTTTGTATTTGTAGATTTACAACCATGACATCATGGCTGTTTACCACTTCCAAATTTCATCTTATTCTTTCCCATCGTGTTCACATCCGATTTCCTTCTATTATCCTTTTCTCTAGTGATATTTTTTGATCCCTCCCGCCCTTTTTTGTCCCGGTGTTTATTTTGAGAGTTTTTTCTTTTGGTTTTGTGTTACGAGTCTTATGTAAGGTTGTCTTTTTTGTTTTTTTAAAAAAAAAAAAAAGTTTTTTCTTCTTTGTTATATTTTTTCTTTAAAGAATTGTGTTCAAGTTGTGGTAGCTCTGCTGTTAGGTTTTCTTATTTTGTTAGGCGCTGTTAGGTCCTCTTTCCACCCCGTAGGGTGTGATTTATATTTTTATCGAAATTTATCATCCTTGGCGTTCAGCCTTGGGTTTCGCCCAAAACATCTTTGCCTGCTTTAGTATTTTTATACTAAAAGTTTGTGAGTTGAAACTTCACATTTCAAGCTGTTGAACAGTAACAGAAACGGAATCTGGTCCCAAGGACCCATGCTCCTATCCAGGAACCTCTTTAATGCTTACAGTGTTCTCACCAAGCATGTAAGCAATACTGCACACAACTGAAAGGTGTATATATATGCTACTTTCACAAAACAAGTGGTATGCCAATGTTGGTTCTACAATACAATCCCCACATATCCACAGAGTCCTACTGACACTCTTGGTAAGAAGAAGACTCTTTCAGGAATACAAAAATTTTCTCACCGTTATAATCAAATGCCATGGTTGCAAGACATGTATCATGAATTGATTTGGTGATCATATGTGTAGCACTGTACATGGCTATTTCAAAAGCACAAAGACCAATCAATATTTCACCAATCAATGAGCTTGTGTTTTCATTTCACTATCCATTCTTCATTTATTATAATCAGGAATCCCTATTATAATTATGAGGATTTACTTTTATTTCCCCATATCCCTTCAAAATCCAAAATCCATTCTTTTTCTAAAAATATTTCACCAAAATCTGCTTCTACATGACTCAATCCAAAAGAAAACCATTCAAGTTTTTTTGATTCAAGAAATTGTAATCCAAAGTATATTCCTTCTCTTAAACCTCAAAGTCCCACTAATCAGTACCTATAAAATGTCTTCACATTTGGTTTTTTTTGTAGCACTAACAATAAAACCACCCACGACTTTCTCAATCTAAATCATACCTTCCAGCAAAAGATTACCCAAGCTACACACAACTAATTCTACAAAAAAAACCATACAAACACTACAATTCATTCATTCATTATATCTTTTCATATATTCCAAAAAAAATCCTAATAAAAAACGGTTTTTAAATCTTCATAAACTTATGCATTATATTCAAAAACAAAAACGAATAAAGACAAAGAAAAACCTCTACATTCAACAAAATTAAACTCCATTTTTCTTTATAAATACATAATCTTGAGCAAAAAAAAACCAAAAAATAAATAAAAATAAACCCACTCTCCCCAGAAAAAAAGGCGTAAACAGTTTAAGATAATTAAAAGAAATTAGAAAAATAACCTAAACTTCGATGCCCATTCCCATTCCCATTCGAGCCAAACCTTCTATGACCCCCACTACTCCCTCCCAAATTTCCCATTCCCATTCCCACCAATCCTGCTGCTGAAGCATTCGAACTTTCTTCCTTCATGTAACTCAATGTCATCAACTCTCTCATAACCTAACCCCCCCAAAAAAAGAAAAAAAAATCAATAAGAGACAGGGAGAGAGAAGATTAAACCACTTTACTTTTTCTAATTTCTCTTTCCTATCTTGTAATTCTAAATGTCTTTTAACTTCTGGATTTTCTCTTGCAAATTCAATTGCCTGATCCCCTTCTAAGCCCTTAACCAACCTAGAATTAATCTCATGCGGTACCTACTCATCCCCCAAAAAAAACCAAAAAAAAAACTTTAATTAAAACCCAAAGCAGAAGAAAGAAAAATGAAATGGGTTTCAAAAACTCAACAGTAGAAAAGAATCTAGAAAGTAAATCAATCTTAATAAAATCAGTTGACGTATTCGATAACCGATCAGCCAAAAGGTTTAAAAAGATTTCCGGACAAAACGGTTGAGATGTCGGTCCAAGTTTACATCTTCTTGATTTGATCGAATTCATTCTTAATTTCAAAATCTCAAATCGGATTTCCATTTCTCTTAATCTTCTTGCTAATCAAAAGAGACAGAAAAAGAAAAAACCCCCATCAAATTCAGTCCGATTTTCCTCACTTTGTTTTTGGTAAATTGAAATCGGACTTACCTCGGTCTAAAAGAATAGGTGGTGGTCTAGTTTCTTCAACTTCAACCACTTCAACTTCTTCCTTCCCCTCAATCTTCTTTCCATTCAAATTCCCATTCCCATCCAGAATCCAACGTTGAGCTTTCCTTCTCAATCGATCTTCATCTTCCTTAACATGTTCAAGTGCTTCTCTCAACCTCCAATTCCTACGAAGCTCAAGTTTTTCATTCTTTAAAAACTCATCACACATCTTAATTTCTTCTTCCATCAAACTTATCGAGCTTATTCTAGACTGTTCCCATTCCGGTTTCGAAATCTCGACTTCATATCTAAACGGCATCACTCCAATCTCCACATGATCTGCTGCTCTTGATCTTAATCCATCCAAGATATCTTCAGTAATACTTAAGATTTCCGATTTGGCTGACGGATGATACGAAATCGGTTCTTGTTCCAAGATCTTGGTGATCGCAAACCTAATCTCATCAGCCACTAATTCAGATGCACTACGTCCGATCCCTCCTTTCGTCAATCTAGACTGAACTGATTGTAACTTATGAATCCAATGAACATCTAATCCTTCATTCCCAATCCGACTTTCACCAAGTTTCGAAAGCTCAGCTATCCTTCGATCACTCCAATAAATCTCAGCCAACAATCCCAAAACCTTTTGATCTAATTCTGTTTTTAACATGTTTCGTACTTCGGATTTAGATAAACATTTCGAAAACTCAATCAACCTACGTTTCAATGAATCCATAGTTTCAGAAACATATTTATCAGCCGAGATATGTCGATCATTGTATTGAACCTTATACTGGTATGTAGATTCTTCTAATTCTAATGAGACTCGATTCGTAATATCATGTAATGAACTGGACATAGATTCTTCTAATAAGCTCATCAATCTTTGTTTCAAGGTGATGGTTCCTAACAACAAATTCGCTTCTCCAAACGCATCAGGATGTGATCTGAAATACTGATGTTCTTGTTCTGCTAAACGATTCACTTGATTGTTTCCACTCAAGCCTGTACGACTTGAGAATCCAGTTTGAGATGGTTTACAAATCACACCTACGTAACCAAGTTGTAATCGATACTTTTCATTCGAAAGAATCGAAGCTCCGATCTTTGGATCCACCAGGTCCATCTTCGTCACCACCCCAATCGTTCGATACCCATGAGGATCGACTCTTCTACTCGCTCTTAAAGCAGGACTATTAGCTAAATCTACATCCGCTGCACACACCGAAAGAATCAAATTCGGTTTCCTTAGATACTTTTCACACAACCCTTGAATCTTTTCTCTTAATTCTTCAGGTTGATCCATCGATGAAACTTGTACATAACCCGGCAGATCGACAAGCGTAAGATCAGGTACATAAGGTGAATAGACTTTCAAGTAGATGGGTTGTTCTGATACGGCTATTGCGTCGGGTACTGCTTGGTTTAATTTAGTTAATCTTTGTTGAACTTCTGAAAAATCGGTAAACCTTCCAGGTCCGAATTCGGGACATTCTGTATATTCTTCTGGACTTGGGTTTTGACTTGTGGATGGGGTATGGATTAAGGTTAATTCGAGTGGACGACGTGTGACCATATTATTTCCTCTGTTTTTAAATTCGGTTTGATGTTGATAGATAGATTCACAAGATTAGTTGAAGAAAATCAAGGTAGTGAAGAATCGAAGATTGAAACACACACTCAACTTGGGTAAAAATTCGTGTCCAACAATTGCTTCCAAAACACTACTTTTTCCACTACTTTGACTTCCAATGACTACAATACTAGGCAGTACTAATGTTTCATCTTGATCGATACTCATTAACAATGAACGGATTTCAATCAATTTACGAGTCAATTTCATCAAGCCTGCCGTTCCAGAATCTTTGCTCATCAGATTTAGAGTTTCATCATCACTTGTACTTGTATATGATGATGATGATAATGCAGCAGCAGAAAGTAAGAGTGGATCTATTGGATCTCCTTGAGGTCTTTGATCTTCTTCTTCTTTTTCTTCTCGTTCTGATCTTGACCAAAAATCTTGAAATCCATTTGAGATTGATGAAAGATTTGATTCTAATGAATCACTAACATTCATGAACACATCACTTGCACTTTCACTTAAATCTGATAACGTTCTACTAGTTGAATCAGTAATACTTTTCAAATTATCAGAAAGTCCATTAAGAACTCCAAAAAGATTATTCCTAAGTCCTGATCAAAAATACAACCCGATGAGTATGGTGTTAAAAGGTTATTGAAGATCAAAAAGACTGACCATCCACTTGACTTCCTACATAAGCAGCACTACCTACCCCAACCGCCCCAACGCCCAGTAACCTACCACCAGCTTTACTTGCAGCACGAGCAGCAGCCGAAACGAAACTGATCTGACGAACTTGAATAGGATGATGATGGTTTAAATGAGTTGAAATCAAACGAGATGGTAATTTCAAACCGGTTGAAATAGAACGGGATGGATATGAAGTCAGATTAATGATTCTTTTGGTGTGGATTGATAGTTTGTTCCATTTTCTGAGTGACATGGTTATCGGTTTTTTGAAGTGTTGAGGAAATTAAGACTTGACTGATAGTTGACTTTTGGTTTTTTGATTTTGAGAATGTGGTTTTGATCGATCGATTCATAAATAAAGGAGACGAACCCATTCACCCACCCATTCTCAACAAAATTTCAAAATTCATAATTCTAAAACCCCGCAGTACCGATTCCGAAACACAACTTGAACTGGACCGCATACATCTTACATCTCTCCAACGATATGTAAATCCTCCGCTGAGACTTCTTTCATCGATCCACTTTTACTTCAGATTCACTTCTTCCTTCCTCTCACTGATCACACACACAGCCTCGAATTGACAATAGCATTAAAACCCAATCAGATCACTTCATAGGTCTTTCAACCCAGCGTTTTCAAAACAGATAGATGCAAGGGTTCTTCACGATTCTCGAACCAAGTAAACAATGCATAGTGCATATCCTTTGAGAGACTTTATGGTGCCACTGTGGAATCCTATCTCAAATTAATACCAGACGTGGCAACTATTTGAAGAAATACTGATGACTTGAGTCTTGCCAAGGTGGTAAGTGACATATGAGAAAACTTTCTGATCACGACACCAAAAACCCTTACTTGAGTGAAATCACGTTGAGTCTTGACTAGGCGTTCGAATTCCTTGTGACCATCTTTCAAACAAATTCATGTGATGGTTTAGCTCTTGATTTTTTTCTCAATCTTTCACTTCTTCTAACCTGTTGTTAATCGCCTATCATCAATCAATTTCTTACTACTCTTTTCCATAAATCGATTTCTCATTTCCTCAACTCCTTTGTAAAATAATTCAACTTATTCTTTTTACCTATACCTATACGGCTTAACTCTAATTCTTAACCCAACTGATTCTTAATTGGATCATGATTCTTAACGTTTCTTTTCTTCCTACTTATCTTCTTTTTTTAAACTTGTTTCAAGCTTTACCAATTATCGAAGTCTTAAACCTGGATAAGTTTCGACATGGATCTATTGGTCTACAACGACGAGAAAGTTTTAGTTTTTACCAATTACCAGAAGAAGAGAGATCCAAGATCGAGACCAAAGCTAAGTCAGAAGCTGTTATGACTGTAGATGGAAAAGTTGCACCGGAAGAAGTTTTAATAGGTGTTCAGAAGGCTGGTTTAGAGAATGGTAATAGTGATCATAAGGGTACTGGAAAACCAACCAAAACAGAAGTCGAAAGTCTTGCGGACCAAACCCTTCCAAAAGTAACCTCAACCCCAATCAAATCTTCGTAAGTCCAACACTTCAATCCCACTTTACTCGAAAAAAACCTGATCTTTTATTAAAAACTTTCAAGAACAATACAAACCAGACAAAACCATAAATCAAGTTCATATATAACCGAAGAAGATAAACTAGGAATTTCCAAATCAAGAACCGAAACACGAGCCAAGATAGATTCAGTAATTGCAGCAGGAGGCCAAATTACTGTTGAAGAGATCTCAATGGTTTCTAAAAAAGCTATGATGGATCATGAGAATAAAGATCGAAAGACGGTTGGGATAGCTATTAAGACTGCGGTTGAAGATCTTACAGATCGAAAACTCGCTGAATTGAAGAATCATAGTAACTCTACGTAAGTGAAAGTCTCATTTGAGCATTTTTACCGAACGAAACTATGATCTGAGGAATGGAATTATCTCGCTTTAGATCTGTACAACTTGGTCAAAATTCTTCTTCTGGCTCTTTTCAGGTAACAGAAGAGAAAGCAGGAGTAGAGAAACCAAAGACCGAAACGCAAGCTTAAGCCACAAGTACTCATCACAACAGGCGGAAAAATCACTCTGGAAGAACTCTCAAGTCAAAAAGCCCATTTCAAAGAATGTAAAGTAATGATCGTAAGCTTACAGGAAAGACTATAAAACCAAAAGTCAAAAGTCTCGAGGACCAAAAACTTGGTGAAATAAACCTGGTTCAAGCAAGACTTTGATCAAAATTCATTCTTCTTGTTTAAGATGATCAAAGTCTTCTACACAATCATAATTTATTGTGTGTGTTTTTGGTCCTTGTTAGTTGATCTACACAAGAAGGTATTTGTAAAGAATACTTTAGAGAGGATTGAGATCTGATCAAAATTCATGTAATCTTTTAATTCTTGTACAAATTCGGAAGTTGTTCATATTACTATTAGCGGTAGATTATCATCTTCAACGTCATGTTAGCCGAAGAGGGACTAGAATAGATTTACGAAATTTTTGATCCTTTTAAAACATGGATGATACTCTTAGATTACTTTAGAAGAAATCAACGTCTAATCATGAAGTAGGTTATCCTTATGAAGCTCAAAGGTTGGGTTCCACAAGTTTTCAAGTGGGCTTATTCATGTCATTTTTGGAACAGGCATGGTTTGGCAAGTAAGCTTTCTGTGAAGAGCTTAATTTTTTTTATACAACAATACATGTAATCCAACAATTGAACATCATGTGCAGATGATCATCCATGAGAGAAAGAAAGAAATAAGAAAATCGTATGAGAAAATTTCCTTCAAACCTATCAAGAAGGTGGTCCTGAAGCTGCACTACCAATAAGACATTTTGAACAAACTAACAGTGATATGGTTTTTAATGAAGAATATCAATGAATATCAAAACCACCAACCAAATCACCCCAAAAATGTCAACAAACTAATTCAAGAAACTCTACGTGTTTGAAAAATCAGACAGATATATAAAGTCACACTTACTTGTATGTGTAATATCTCTTCCATTTTCACCAGGCACACATTTCCACCTCTGATCATCATCCCAACAATGTGCTACATACATATCAAACCAAAATCATTCATCAGAATCCAAAAAACTCACCATGAAAAACTTGCTACTTTAAAAGTTGAGTATAGGAAAATGTGATACCAAAGATTCCGTAATAAGAATAACCTTTACTACAGATAATCTTTTCATTACAATCACTAGCAGTATAACCACAACTAGTTGATTGAAGACCACATTTGAAACCCCCTATATCCCCCCAGAAAAGAAAAATCATAATATAAATCATCCAACATAATTGATCAACAATCTTTTTTTTTGATGGATTAATTCATCAATATATGATGCTGAAAAAGAAATTGAATTTGGATTGGAAGGACTTACATGCCGGTCTACGAGAACAAGCATGCCAAAACCCGTATTGGTATGTATGACAAACTTCACATCCGTATTCTACCCCTCCACTATTCTTACAATCTATGAAGATCAACTCAGAACAAGAGGTCTAAATCAGTCAAGAAGTTTTTTTTCAAACACGGGAAAGGATCTGTTTGAATCCCTTGGGAAAACATTACTACTATTACTAATGGTTGAAAGGTTTATAATCTGAATTCAATTACTAACAGTATCCTGGATGAGGAAGTGGTGGGTGTCCAATCAACCGAACATGTGGAGCCCAAGCAAGTCCACAATCTTGCACACTATAACCAGCACGAACGTGAAAATTAAACTGAGCTATCAAACATAAAAACGTAAAAGCTTTAAAGTGATTGTGACGAAGATGAAAAAAAGTACTATAGAACAGAACACGTTAGTTTATAGTCAGAATTGTAATGGATTGATCGTATAAGACAACAGAAAAAGACGTACAATAAGAAAAAGAACCAAGAGATAGTCATTTTTAGAAAATAAGTCAAGAGAAATGAGTAGGGAAGTGTTAGAATTTTATCTTATTTGATCCGATCAAGAGACCTTCAATTTCCATGTGATCCAAACCTATTCAAAATCATTCTCACCCACACAATCATCACTCATGTCAAGACGTCAATATGTCTTATGTTTCGTGATCTTTCGTCATAAAAAAAACATATTTGAGGAACGCAAGTGAGGTAAGGCAGTCCGAAGATCTGATGAGTATATGCAGCCACTTTATCTGCAGGCTCAGCCACTACATGTTTTCTCCGACGCACAAAATCCTCCGAAGGTCTTGGACCCCATTGTACTTCAGGGACCAGTATGCTTGGTTTGAATGGTTTGGAATAATAGATATTCGTGGTTCTGGAGTGAGTGTTTTGTGATTTCACGTATTGGACATTCTTTGATATGAAGCATTAGACTTCTCTTTGATTTGTATGGACTTCATTCTTTGGTTTTGTGATCAACAGGAAATGGTTTCTCTTGTATTATTTATCAAGTTGTTCACGTATCAAAATCACTTCAAAGTAGTTTCTGTAGACCCATTGACGTTGAAGTAAATAACTATCAATATATCAGTGGGTCTTGGCTGACGCATACAAGTATATAGCGGATCAATGATCAAAAGTTAAACAACCAGGCTTTATCCATCCATTGGTATAGATTCCAAGGCTTATAAGACCACATGAAGCAATTTGATCAATAAAGTCTTGTAACCCTGTCTCTTTTCTTTTCAAGATCACCTTTCATTCAGACCAAACCTAATCAAATCCCGAATATCTTTCATCCTCATCTGTACCGTAGTACATAGTAAGCTCAGACCACTTCATCTTCACTGACTATCATCTTCTGTTCAATTTTCCTCAATCAAATAAACCCCAACTCAGATCTCTAAACTCCTTTGAAAGCTTAACCAAACTCTTCTAAGAAAATATATCAAATTCATTTTTCCAAAATAAAGAATCCTATAACAAAATCCAAGTACAGCTTTATTTCAGCAATACATTCTTTTTCAAACAATTGTCTATTGTCCATCAACGATACCGGCATAGATAAACAAACTATGAAATAAATTAAGAAAGAAGGAAAAAGAAAAACAAACAAAGAAAAGAAAGAAAAGAAAAAAGAAAAAGACAACAAACAAAGGAAAAGAACAGGAAGAAATAAATAAATAAATAAATAAATAATAAGTTTGAAAACCATAAATAAAGTAATCAGTTCCAAAAGAATACATAGATAAACAGTTTCTATCGTTTACCAAACCGGTCCACCAGATTGTTTAGCAGTTCCTTGTAAACACTTACTACAAACTACCCAAAAAAACAAAAAACCAAAAAAAAGCAGGTTAATAAACTAGATCCAAAATGATTTCAAAGACTATAAAATGAGTTTACCAGTATGAGTAATAGGTCTTTGATTACCATCAGGCACACATTTGTACCTCCGATCATCGTCCCAACAATGAGCTAAAAAAATACGATCCCAAAATCAGATATTTGGAAAAACATTGCTTTTTTTGTGTAATTGTTGGTTGGGTTTTTGATACTTACCATATTCTCCGTAATAAGAATACCCTTTACTACAAATTATTTCATCTGTACAATCGGTTGACATATAACCACAACTTAAACCTTGATCACCACACCTTGCACCCCCTTTCCAATCCAAACACAAAAAGAATGGATCAAGAATCAGTCTTAATGTTCTTTTGTTCTTTTTTTTATCGATCTTTTAAACTTGATGTTTTTTTTTTAGATTGTTGAACGTACAAGCAGGTCTCCAACGACAAGCGTGCCAGAATCCTTGTTGTAAAGTATGACAAACTTCACAACCATATTCAACCCCACCACTATTCTTACAATCTTTCCAAAAAGTATCCAAAACCAAAATCCAAACCCAAAACCAAAGAAAAAAATAGTCAAAAGATAAATAACTAAACCAAGATTTACAAAAGATTTCCTAAAAATGACTTACAATACCCAGGATGACCAATAGGAGGATGACCTAAAAGTTGAATATTAGGAGCCCAAGCAATTCCACAATCTTGTACACTATAACCAGCAAGAACATAAAAGTTAAAAAAACTTAAAACACTTAAACATTTTAAAAAGTTTAAGAAATCGAATTTGATGTGAAAAGAAAGACTAAGCCGAAAAAAAAGAAGAGTAGGGTGTTAGTTTTTTTGGATAGGTGTATGGAATGGGGATAAGAACGTACAAGGATTTGAAGTGAGATGGTGATGACATTTGTGAAAGAAGGGAAAAGAGTATAAGTATGTAATTTTAAAGAGAATTAAGTTGACGAGAGAAAGAAAAAGTGTACTAGAAGTGCAAAAGTGAAGAGGAGAATGATTTATAGAAGAATCGATGCTACATAGATAACTAGTGTGCCAAGTCAACGAAGAGACCAGAAGATGATGTTCGGCCTTCCAAAACACCCGAAGAAAAGGTGCGAAAAGGAGAATGCATAGTTGAATGAACGCATGTATATAGTAGTGGTTCAACGCATGAGCATTCAAGCCACTTTAGACTCAAGCCACTATCACCAAGCCTTTTTTGATTTACGATCTTAGTTTCGGACGGTAACAAATTAATCAAAAAGAAAGAGAAAGAGAAAGTTGAAGTCAAAGAAGATGAGAAAAGAGGTTTATGAAGAAATATTAATCAAAGAATTACATACATACATACTTCAGTTCAATTTACGATTTCAACCATTTAACAGCATTCAACACCATTTCGATCGATCGATCGATCAAAGAACACAGGAGACTATTTTCTTTTCTTTTCTTTTCTTTCCGATTCGGTCAAAAAAGAAACCACGAATTTAAGAAGAAACCAGAAACCAAACTATTTCAAAGAATGAAAAGTGTTATAGTGATAGCTATCTTAGGATGCTTAGTAGGACCAATTCATTCAATCAAACCATTAACTTCAACTCCATGTTTCTCAATCTCATCATGGAACCAAGCCCAAACCCAACCCCACCAAAAGCTCAACTTACTCAACCTCCAAACCCATGAATCATACACTCCATCTATCCTTCCACTTGGACCTTTTCCAGCCCATCATTTTCCTCAACTCATCACTCATTCAGACCCGAACCTCGACGAATCTCAATCCACTTTCGCTCAACGGTACTGGTTCGATACTACTTATTATCAAAAAGGAGGTCCTGTTTTCTTACTAGACGGAGGCGAAACGAATGGGCAAGACAGACTACCATACTTGCAAGACGGGATTCTAAGTATCCTTTCCAAAGCAACCCATGGAATTGGTATCATACTTGAACACCGATATTATGTAAGTTGAAAGACTAGAAATTTAGAAAACTTCATTGGGGTTTTGATCTTTTGTTTTCTTTGGTTATATAAGGGTCAATCGTTTCCTTTTAAAGACCTTTCGAACGAGTCATTAAGGTACCTAAACACGCGTGAATCGTTAGATGATAGTGCTTATTTTTCACAACATATCGTTTTGCCTGGTCATGAAGATCTTGATATCACTGCACCTGGTACACCTTGGATCTAGTTTAGTGATTTGACTCAAAAAGAAACTCTGGACAACCGACTGATAGGATCCGATTTGTTTTTTTTCATTTGGGTTAGTTATGGTGGTAGTTATGCAGGTGCAAAAGCGGCATTCATGATGAAACTTTATCCTGACCTGATATGGGGATCAATAGCTTCAAGTGCAGTGATCCATGCGCAAGTAGATTTCTGGTGAACCCTGAACCTTTCTCTCAAAAAAACAAGAAGAAGATCTGATGATTTATTTTTCTAGGCAATACTATGAACCGATTCGAATTCATGCACCTGAAACATGTATTGAACCATTGATAATCATTACAAGATCGATTGATAGGATCCTTCTTTCGAACGATTCCATGGCTATTATGTCATTGAAAGATCTTTTCGGATTAGCAAACGTAACTGATCATCGAGATTTCGTAAACGTCTTAGCTTCTCCTATCGGGTTTGTGTTTCAAAAGGTATTTTTAGAAACGAAAAAGAAAACTGATTTGGATGAATATACAGGACTTGGCAAGAAAGAAATTGGGATCCAAGGATCAGTAACCACGAATTCGAAACGTATTGTGATTCGTTAAAAAGAAATCCATCACCCGAACCCATCAAAACTTTTTCCACTTCTTTAAGTTTATTACAAAGATTTTTTGAAGTTGAAGAAAACTTTCCACTGGATAGTTTGTTAGGGTATTCTAATTATATTAAAAATTCAATTAGTTCCAAATGTGAGAAGTTGGATCAAGATGAATGTTTTGGAACTGGAAATCTTACGGCTCATCAGATTGATAGTCTGGATCAAACTTGGAGATCTTGGAGTACGTCATCCCACTTCTGATCGGATTCTTTCTTTGTGAATTGATCTTCGATTTTGTATTGAATGGGTTTGGAATTGTACGGTTTTTGTTTCAGTGTGGCAAGTCTGTACTGAATGGGGTTATTTTCAAAACTCTTCACCTGGTCTTCAAGATAGTTTAGTTTCTAAACTAATCACCCTAGAGTATAATTCTAGACCATGTCAACTCGCCTTCGGATCCAGTAAGTGACAATCTTCCAAACCTTTCAATCCAAGTTCTAAAGTGTGGATGATCTGTACGATAGATATACCCAAGACACCGAACACCACCCAAGTGAACCAATACGGAGACTACGATCTAGATTCCAATCGATTAGCATTCATAGACGGATCCCATGATCCATGGATCTATATGACCGTTCATTCACCTTTACTTCAGAATCGAACTATTCGGGATGGATTTGTGATTGATGGCGGGATACATCATTGGGATGAGAATGGGAATGGGGATGGTGAACCGGAAGGGATTAGGAATGTTCATCAGAGGGAAGTTGGGTGGGTTAGAGAGTGGGTCAGGCAGTTTTATGATCGGAGGTCTTAAATGGTTGGTGGGATTATGAAGTTTTGGTTTGGGTAGGGAGGTATGGACTTGCGGAAATGGGGTTATGTTGTGGTCAATTTCGGGTTTGGAATTCGAAATTGGTTTTGTTGGTTATACTAGAATCATAAGTTTTTCTCTTCTTGTTAACTTGTTATACAAAATCTTTTAAATTTCTTATAACCAGTTGGATCTGATTTTGAGTATTAGAAAATGTTTGGATGTATTTATTTGGAACGTAATTTTGTAATTTTGTAATCTGAACTTTGTTGTTTGTTTTGTTTTTGTTTGTCGTTTGTTTTTTTGTTTTGTGTACTGATGAAAGAATAAATTTTATACTTACATTGGATCATTTGCGTATGTGATCTTATTGGATTTTTATGATGGGACAGTTGTGATTAACACTCTGTAGGCATGTTCAAGTTGGAAAAATGCTTAGAAAATTCAATCAATCGAAAATCAGTTTACGTTTTGGTTTCAAAGAGAAAAATTGAGAAATTTTTAAAGATTTTGAAACAACTGAGAAATTAAAAGCACATTTGTTAAACTTTTCATTTTATCTATCGAAAAAGGATCATATTAATTGTTCAAGGACCAGGTAATTCAAAGAATTCTCTAAACTTTTTTTGGAATACTTTTTAACTTTGGATTTATTGAACATATACTGGATGGATGGATTGATATGGTATGGGGTACTTTTTATAGGTTTGGTTTGGTGGGTTGTGAGTTTTAGGTGTACTTCAGTAAGAATAAGAGCAAGCAGTAAGTGGAAACTTTACTACTTACAAAGTTTTGAAACAACCGAGAAATTAAAAACACATTTCTTAAACTTTTTCATTTGAATATCAAAAAAGTGTGGCATGAATTGTAAAAGGACCATGTAATTCAAAGAATTTTCTAAACCTTTTTTGGAATATGTTTGATTAAATTGGGGTTTATTGAACTTATACTGGATGGAATGATATGAGGTACTTTTTGTAGGTGTGATTTGGTGGGTTGTGAGTTTTAGGTGTACTGGAGTAAGAGTAAGAGGAAGCGGTAAGAGGAAGCTTTACGGCTTACGGAAAGTTTTGAAACAACTGAGAAATTAAAAGCACATTTGTTAAGCTTTTCATTTGATCTACTAGCATAAAAGTATTACATGAATTTTTCAGGACAATGGGATTCAAAGAATTTTTTACACCTTTTTTTGGAATACATTTAATCAAATTGGGATTTATTGAACTTATACTGGATGGTATGGTATGGGGTACTTTTTGTAGGTGTGATTTGGATATGTATGGGTTGTGAGTTTTAGGTGTACTGCAGTAAGAGGAAGAGTCAGAATAAAAGGAAGAGTAAGAGTAAGAGTAAGAGGAAGAGGAAGAATAAGAGGAAGAGGAAAAGGAAGCTTTACTGGTCACAACAAGTTTTGAAACAACTGAGAAATTAAAAGCACATTTGTTAAGCTTTTCATTCTATCAAAAAAGTATTACATGAATTGCTTGAAGACCATGTAATTCAAAGAGTTTTCTAAACCTTTTTTGGAATATGTTTGATTAAATTGGGGTTTATTGAATGTATATTGGATGGATTGGTATGATGTACTTTTTGTAGGTGTGATTTGGTGGGTTGTGAGTTTTAGGTGTACTGCAGTAAGAGGAAGCTTTACTGGTCACAGCAAGTTTTGAAACACCTGAGAAATTAAAAACACATTTGTTAAAATTTTTCATTTGATCTAGCATATAAAAGTATTACATGAATTGTTCAAGGACCATGTAATTCAAAGAATTTTCTAACCTTTTTTTGGAATACCTTTTGACTTTGGATTTATTGAACATATACTGGATGGATGGATTGATATGGTATGGGGTACTTTTTGTAGGTTTGATTTGGTGGGTTGTGAGTTTTAGGTGTACTTCAGTAAGAAGAAGAGGAAGAGGAAGAGGAAGCAGTAAGAGGAAGCTTTACGGCTTACGGCAAGTTTTGGAACAAAGTACTGATAAATTAAAAACACATTTGTTAACTTTTCATTCTATCAAAAAAGTATTACATCAATTGTTTGAAGGACCATGGAATTCAAAGAATTTTATAAACTTTTTTTGGAATACCTTTGATTGAATTTGGATTTATTGAACATATACAGCTGTTTGCATAAAAAATGCCGTTGCCCTTTTTTTTTCAAGTTGCACTAAAAATTACCAACATAGCTCTACATCAAGAGCAGCTGTAGTTGATCATGATGTGCTGAATTTTAAAGGTTGTATGACATATGTGCAGATCCCCTTTTTTGATCTCGTCCCACCTTTTGACTGGTCTTCACCCCTCTCCGATTACAGACACACCTTCTACCCACTCCTATTTGGATTACTCATGGTGGGGTAATGTGAGCGCGCCGGTTGGACATTGTTGTCTTGAGGCGGGATGCAAAGTCTAGCCAGAGGGGTTAGAAGTGCTTCAGAATGAAGCTCAAAACGCTTTCATGCCCTATTGGTGCCGGGTTGTCCATTGTGATGCTGAGCTTTGGTTGCAACCATACCAAAGGTTGAGAAAGCTTGTGCATTCCGGATACAAAGGCAGCAATACTTGTGATCTTTCAGGATCTTTGGCAAACTTTGCACCCTTGAGAAAGTCGAGTACAGCCTACCACAGCTCTTATGTAGAATCTACGTTGGTAATGTTTAGTGCAACTTTGAAAAAAAAAGGCGACAGCATTTTTTATGCAAACAGCTGTACTGTTTGGTATGGTATGAGATACTTTGTAGGTTTGATTTGGTGGGTTGTGAGTTTCAGGTGTACTGGAGTAAGAGTAAGAGGAAGAGGAAGCTTTACTGGCTACGGCAAGTTTTGGAACAACTGAGAAATTAAAAACACATTTCTTAAACTTTTTCATTTTATCTATCAAAGAAGTATTACATCAATTGTAAAAGGACCATGTAATGCAAGAATTTTCCATACTTTTTTTGGAATACGTTTGATTGAATTGGGATTTATTGAACATGTACCGTTTGGTATGGTATGAGATACTTTGTAGGTTTGATTTGGTGGGTTGTGAGTTTTAGGTGTATCATAGTGAGAGGAACAGTAAGCAGTAAGAGTAAGAGTAAGAGTAAGCAGTAAGAGGAAGCTTTACTGGCTACGGCAAGTTTTGAAACAACTGAGAAATTAAAAACACATTTCTTAAACTTTTTCATTTTATCTATCAAAGAAGTATTACATCAATTGTAAAAGGACCATGTAATGCAAGAATTTTCCAAACTTTTTTTGGAATACGTTTGATTGAATTGGGATTTATTGAACATGTACTGTTTGGTATGATATGAGATACTTTGTAGGTTTGATTTGGTGGGTTGTGAGTTTTAGGTGTATCATAGTGAGAGGAACAGTAAGCAGTAAGAGTAAGAGTAAGAGTAAGCAGTAAGAGGAAGCTTTACTGGCTACGGCAAGTTTTGAAAGAACTGAAAAATTAAAAACATATTTGTTAAGCTTTTCATTTGAATATCAAAAAAGTATTACATGAATTGTCTAAGGACCATGTAATTCACAGAATTCTCTAAACTTTTTTTGGAATATGTTTGATTAAATTGAGGTTTATTGAACATATACTGGATGGTATGGTATGGGGTACTTTTTGTAGGTTTGATTTGGTGGGTTGTGAGTTTTAGGTGTACTGGGGTAAGAGTAAGAGGAAGCGGTAAGAGGAAGCTTTACTATTTACGGCAATTTTGAAACAACTGAGAAATTAAAAACACATTTGTTAAGCTTTTCATTCTATCAAAAAAGTATTACATGAATTGCTTGAAGACCATGTAATTCAAAGAATTTTCTAAAAAATTTTGGAATACATTCAATCAAATTGGGATTTATTGAACTTATACTGGATGGTATGGTATGGGGTACTTTTTATAGGGTTGATTTGATTGTGGGTTGTGGGTTGTGACTTTTAGGTGTACTGCAGTAAGAGTAAGAGGAAGAGGAAGAGGAAGAGGAAGAGGAAGAGGAAGAGGAAGAGGAAGAGGAAGAGGAAGCTTTACTGTTTACAGCATTTTTGAAATAAAAGGTGAAGGGCTGCTGAGTAGTTGGGATTCAGAGTTGGAGGTTTTGGGTGAAAGAGGTTTGATGATCCAGTCTCAGACATGGCCTTTTAGTTTTCAGAGTGTGAAGAATTTGAAGTAAACATGAACAAGCAAGTATTAGGAAGTTTGGTCACTTGATCCATGTCTTTAACTTCATTTGGGTTTTTTCTTACTACACTGAAGGACAACTTGACTCCTTGGACTCTTTTCTTGCATTCTTCTTTATGATAGGTGGTACCGCCCCTTTCCATGACATGGTGGAGATATTGCCTTGGGGCAACATTGGGATCCTTCTACTGAGGATACAATTGCTCTGACGCGTAGGGGTAGGGGGAAGTAGCTGTGGAAAATTTATTTCACTCCTTCCCTCTCTCTCCTTTTTCTCCACGCACCAGAATTCTCTGTCCGCTAGAGATCTCTCACCGGCGTCTTTGGACCTCTCTCCCTTCTTCACTCCATTCTCTCTTTTTTGAACCCACCCTCCACCCTAGAATGGGGTACATAGGCGTAACTGTTGAATAGCGGTTTGGTAATGTGTGTAACCTCCTGTAGCGTCTCCATTTTAGAATGCTACCCTTTCAGTCTTTGTGTATCAGTATCTTGTATTCCTTCAGTTTAAGTTTCTGTAGATGGGTGCCTAGCCTGCCGTTCAGAGCTCTCCCATCTACAGAGGCAGGTGTTCCGTACCGCCCCTTCTACGAGGCCCACCCCCAAACCAAAACCTCCCAGGCGTAAGGGAAGTTGGTGGTTTGCCTAGGGCACACCAGCAAACTTAAGTTGACAATACAAATTTGAAATACAAAATTTATTCTAGTTTGTCCAAATCTAGATATCACCTAGTTGAGAATGGACGTAACACTTGATGTTTATGAATCTTAGATCCAAAAAGGTTGGTTTCCATAGTTTCTATCTAACTTGTTTTGATCAACACATTCTGTTCTTTCTCCTCCTGTTTGATGAAGGTAATGAAATGAAGCAAATCAGATGTTGATAATATTTTGATAAAAGCTAGAGCTGTTTTATCTTAGATCTACATTGCATTGTTTGATAGAAATTTGAGTTTTTCTCTTCACAATCTGTACGGCTGAGTGTGACTCTGAGGTCAAAATCAACAAAGTCCCTCAAACCGCAGACATCCACTTGAGCCTTTCAAGGTTTGTGAGGCTTGTAAGCTGAGCAGACTGGTTTTGAAGTTAGTGAAGTACGGTCTGGGATTAATCTGAGGTTTTGCAAGAATGTTGTCCTTGCAACTGCCTGGTGGGGCCTGTTCATCCCGAGCAATAGGTGCCTTCAAACTAGGGAAAATTTGAAAAGTTGAAAAGAAAAATTGGGAACCATGTAATTACAATACAAGCAATACAACACTGTAGTGCAATCACAAAGTTAGACTTTGTATTTGGAGGGGGCCTCCCTCATAGGGCTTCACAGTTTTGAAGCAGCAAAAAGGTGTGTAATCAAAAACTATGAATTCACTATAGCTCTGTATCAGTTGTATCTAAATTACAAGGTTCAAAGATTTTCTTTTCAGGTTTTTATTTTTTTCTAGTTTGAAGGCACCTAATGTTTTGCATCTCAACTACAAATCTCACACTTTTACTCACTGTTCCTTAACAAGATAGTTGATGAGGCTTTTATGTCTCTCCTGCTAATTTCAAAATAACTCTTAAACACTTCATGATATTGAAACCTAAAGTATCAAGGATATGTTTTGTTTTTGTAGATTTCTGCGTGAGTGTAAGATCAATTACAGAACCAGGGGTTTCAAGCGTGGGCTCTTTTATTACTTTTGCTAGAAAGCTTGCCCCAATCAAGAAAAAATAAAACAGAATTAGACCCAGAATTCACCGCAGCAGTCACAACGCAGCAGAGAGAAAAAAGTTTGAGGGTGCTGTCACATGTGGTGTGATCTCCCTCCCATTCGTTCCTTTTGATTCCCCCGTTGCCGCCAAAAAATTCTCATATTCTCAAAATCCCTGCCATCACTTTGTTTTCCTCACCAAACTCAATCCCCCGCTGCTTCTCTCATCCTGGAAATGTGTCCTATCCATGATGGCTGGTCTCTGTAATGAAAAAGGTACACTTTTTTGCATTAATCCCTCCATTTGTCTTTTCAGTGCATTTCATTCAACTTGCTGATAATCCCCAACAACATTTCTAGGTATCTTCTCCAATAACTACCATCATACTGTCCCAAGTTCAACCCTTTCGAGTTTGGATTCAATATGTCAAAGTTTGATGTCTGGAGATCACAACTTTTAGTTACTAGCTCAAATCCAATCAAACGGAATCAACACACAAATTGTACCATTATTGTGTTCTTCAGATATTTGAAGATAAGCTTGATCATTTAGAATAGATGAATTGTAGTAGCAAAGATTGTGATTGTAGATAAGAGTGGTGTGAAAATTGAAATTGTATCAATCCTCTTCATAGGATTACAAGCAAATCAATCAGTTTTGGTCTTGTTCAAAAACATCAGTCTCTAGATTACACAAGAGAGCTGAGATTTTTCAAAGTCTTTCTTGTAGGAAGATAGGAAGGTCAATTGGGTTTGACCAAGCAAAGCCAATTGATTTTTGACTTTGAATGTCTTCAAGCAAACTGAGATGGTTTTTGATCCTGTTCATAAGACCATAGACGAGTTGAATGGGTTTGGATGACTTCAAACCCAATGATATCTTTTATTGCCCTCATAAGAGATCTGAGATGGTTCTCAGCTCGCAATCATAGGATTGCCTATAGAAGAATCAATTGAAATTGATTGGTTGTGATATTTTTCATAACCAATCGATGATTCTAATTTCTGACACTCTCGACTACGTTGAAAAATCACTCATGTTTTGAATATCTTTCATAAATTATTTCATCTCAGACTTTGGTATTCAGCAGAGCTCGCACTGGACAGGTTGGAGATATGTAAGATACCTCTCAATCAACTTGCCCTTTTTCATAAAAGCTCATCATCTCTTATTTTCATCTGTTAACAAAAATTCTGCTTGTTATCAACATATGAGGAATAGTACAGAGAGAGAGGTTTCACACATCAATCCAACACCTCAAACCCATTGCAAAAGAGTGTGGGAAAGAAGAGCTGGTGAGGTAATGGTGAGACAAAGCTAGGTGGACCAATCACTGATATCAGACTGTGTTGCGAGGACGGTCATCTGAATCGAAGGATATGAAAGGTTGTTAGAAAGTACACCAATAGATGATGAATAAGATCTATATACTTAAATCAATGTCCCTCTCGACCGTTGCTATCCTATCCGTTATCCTGACCCGGTTATCCCTACTACCCTATACTCTTTGCCCGGTCCACAAGTGCGCTCCCCCCCATCCCCAATGCAACGACTTCTCTCCACATTACTCTGTCCCCAATACATACCGTGTTCCTAATACAATCCCCGCTACACCTTTCCTCAAACCAGGACGCCGGTCAAGACCACCCATGTTACCCCTTCACTGTCACTCATCCATCTTTACCGTATCACTGATTGTGCCCAACCTGCCATCTTTGCCGGACCAGATTGCTTCCTCTGCTCTATTACCAACCTCCACTAGTCTTCTCTACCATCCTATACCCATTTCAATCCTACTTCATCTACCTCTTCATCTCCCAACCCGCCCTCAAAAATTTTTATCGCTATTTTGTCATTCGTCCTGGACTAACCTGTGTTTCTTAGTCTATTATTCACCTGTTAGGTCCCACTTCCATGCACTACGCTATACCCATCCAGTCCCAACCAACATTCAAACCTGATCTCACCGGTCAGTAAACTACTCAACTACCCACGCACCTACACTCTGGGGTTTTGCCCTTTATACACCCATTCCTTGCTCACCGGCGTCAATTACTTAAGGCATCTCCTCCCTCTTCTCTTCCTCACTCCAAACACTCTTCGACGTACATTACCTTCTATATTCACAACGAATATTGCTCACGTCCAATACCCACCTTCGAATCAATCCCGCTATTCCCCCCTAAACTTATTTACTCTATTCTTCCCTAAACTTATTCGTCTTACCCAAATCTTAAACCTTTATCTCTACCTTTGCTTACAATGGCTTCTACCTCTACTTTACCTGCCGGCAATCCACCCGTCCGGCCATCTCACCCTGTTACCGTTTCAGGCGTCGTCGAAGTTGCCACCATGGTATGTTCTCCTCTTCTCACCACCACTTCTTCTCCCTCCTGCTGAATTACCCGTTCCTCTCAGTTACCCCCCGCCGACAATCGCAATTACACTTACCAATCCTGCACTGTAGCCGTTACTTGTAACGGGTGGGATTCAGATCGCGAGGCTGAGTACGATGGAACGTTCACCGCGTATTGCTCCTCCGTTGACGCTCCTCTCGACGGCCATTGTTACGTCATGAAGTCCCGCTTCTTGCCGGATTGCCGCTCTGCCGACTACGCTATGTACCACGAAGCAGATCACAAAATCTTGGTTGGCACCAGCGATTCTTTCGCCGGTGTTCTCAACAATAATACTGCAGTCACTGGCCTAGGCATTGTCAATTCTAAAAGCACCATCCCGGACGACGCCACCGGGAAAAATATGTTGTGTTTTTTCATGCAACATATTGATTACAAACCTCAGGTCCGTTATTCCACTACTACAACTCCTGCTCTACCGCTCATATGTTTCTACAGATCCGCGAAGATTACCAATTCGAGATGGAGTACCGTATCCGGCCTACTAGAAACCTCCAAAGCGCGCAAGGCCTGATCCAAGTTGGTCGAGAAACATTGATAAACGGGTTCATCGTTGATTGGGACGACGAAAATAATCGATGGATTGTAGAGGTCAGTATTCAACTCTTGTATCCGTGATACTACTTCTCTGACCTGTTTCCCTCTAATACAGGTCTATGAGTCATTCACGATATGCAAATACGTCGTAAGTAAGAATGTTGCATGTAAGTGAGATGAAGAAAAGGTTTGAAATCGGTGAGGATCAAACCTTTGACTCATAGGTGGCTTATAAAGGAAAACTAACAGTTGTACGCAGCGAAGAGTTAAAGAAACACAAGACACGAATAGAGAGCACGCATGACAACAGATCAGAAATAATAGAAACGTAACCAATAAGAACACACATCACAACAAGCATCAAAACAGAACAAAAGAGACACGCTAGATAAAATAGGATCAAAACTATTCGCCGTCATAACAATCAACAAGGTCACCAGCGTTAGCAATTGCACCGGCCATTCCGACACGTCGAACAAAAAGGTTGTTCCAGGTAAGGCTCCGACCCGCGCCCCGGAGGCCCCGGGGCACCCGTCGGCAGGCCCGGCCCGAGCCCGTCCCGGACAGGCTTAAAAGCTGGTGAGGCCCGAGAGTAGCCCTCTCTTGGGCTTTTGTCGGGGCTTTTGGGCCCAAGCTGAGGCACTAAAAATCAAGGAGCTGACATGATTTTACTCGGAAAACTGCACAGAAGAGGTGTTATAGGTATGGATGGATACATTGTATCTTGTAAATATAAGGGTAAAAAAGCAAAACAAGAGGTTGTACATTTCATAAGGGTCGCTTAACGGCGTCCTAAACCAAACTTGAACCAGCTTTTTACACACAACAGGGCCTCACAAGTGAAGGCCTTCATACTCATCCGATACTTAGTCCATAGACGACTGCCTCCTGAGAAAACTCGTTCGGAAGAGACACTTGTAGCGGGAACAGCTAGGTGAGCACGAGCCATTCGAGCCAATGTAGGGAGGTTCTTCTGCTCCAACTTCCAATAGTCTAATGGTTCGCGATCTTCGCGTTCGCAGAGACCGTTGAGGTAAGTATCTACTTCCTCTTCAACCGTGAGCTTTGATCCACGATTTACAAACCGTCGAGCTCCGAATGCTCGACGCTTGGGTTCTGGCTTGGTTGAAGTACCATCACTGCTATCTGTATCATCCGATTGGAATTTGATCGCTTCCTTCAAAAACAAGGCTTTGAGTGCAGCCCTGTTGGGGATTTGGGCTAGATCGAGGGTCTGATCAGAGATCTCGGCCAGCTTGCTACGAGGGTCCAAGATATTGCCACAAAGATAGACAGGCTTTTGCGCAGCAGCTCGATAGTAGTCCATCACCTTTTTCTTGATTGGATTGATTGCGGCTAAAAAGACTGGATTGGTGACAGTCGACAAGGCCTATGTACATAGTTCAAAATGTCAGTGGGCTGAATTGGGAAGGTTGATGAATTAAAAGGAAACTCACCAGATCTAGTGACTTGATAAGACATTGATAAGTTGGAATTGCATCAGCAAGAGTTGGTGATTTTGCCGCCGAGAGTAGAACTGTGGCCTCCTCTAAGGGACGTAGAAACTTTGTAAAGCTTTCTAAGAGATTCCACTCAGAGGAAGAGATGGCATATTGAATGTATTCGTCATTGGTAGTGAGCATGTTCACTGCTTTCTTCAACTCGATCGCTCGCTCAAGACAATTTAAGTCAGAGTTCCATTGAGTCTTCACAGGTCGTACAAAACCTTTGTGCAAACCACAAGACTCGGCTAGCTTCTGGAATGATTGTAGTTGTTGAGGGGATTTATAAATATAGGTGATCAGTGCGTAAAGCCTCTTGAATGCACTATTCCCTGGCTGAGGAGCAGACTCGTTTTCGAGCCATTCATCTAGACCGTTTACTGCAGGACCAGTATCTGTCTCTCCGAGAGCCTTACTAAAGCTTTTGATTCCAGCTTGAGCAGCTAAGTTGACAACATGGGCCATACAGCCTAAGAGGTGAGTTTTTGCATCGAAGTCAGGGATATGAGGTTGGAGTAGTCGGGCCATGGCAGCATTTGTGTTGGCATTATCGGCTGTTAGAGTAAAAACTCTATTGATTATTTTAAAGTCTTGAAGAGTTTTGTGAAGAAGCTCAACTAAGTTTTCCGCCGAATGATCCCCATCGATTTCCTTCACCGCAAGAATGATCTCCTCAAGCTGAAAATCGTTATTGATCCAGTGTACTGTGATACCGAGTATTGATTTCCGAGACGGTGCAGACCATCCATCAAAGGTCAGGGAGACGTAAGGAGTAGCCTTCAGGATCTCAATAATCTGGAGTGAGAGAGATCGGAACTGAGAGATGATGTATTCGGATTGAGTGTCAGATCCGTAGTGAAGGTGACGGATTTCAGGATTTGCCACTTCAAGGAGGTCTCGAAACTCTGTGCTCTCAACCAATGAGAAAGGAAGCTCCTGCATAACAATAAGTCGGGTGACTGCAGCTTTGTAGTTTGCAGCATTCAGTTTGACAACCTTCAAGAAAAAAGGTAAGGTAAGATTCAAGATAAATTGGCGAGTTCAAACAAAAGACATTGAATCAATAGCAAAAGTGAATAACATACAGGACAAATTCGTCTTTCCTTGGCATATTTTTCCATGTTAATAGCTGACTCTTCTCTTACATCTGTTGCTGTGATTCCATGTTTCTTTGAAAGGTGCCGTATCATTGACTTTGTTGATGATGTTTTATCCCGTGTGATTTCAGTAAGGCAAAGATCATTGCTCCCCGGGTTAACTTTGGCTTGACATATTAGTACATGCTTGTCCTTGGTTTTATGCTCTATAAAGTAATGCCATACCCAGGAAGACTTTGCGCCAGACTTATTTTGAGAATTTGCTTGAGAATCACTCTTGGAAGTACCCATAGATTTTGAGTCCGGTTCTGGTTCCCCTTCAGAGTCTATAATAATGGTTTTTGGTTTTTTTTGGTTGGTTTGGGGACTCAATGAGCTACGAGGGTGTTTGCTGCTGATTGTATCTGGTTGTGCTGAGCGTGTCATGTTGATGATGAGCAAGGTAAAATCAAGTGCAATTTTGGTTGGGGTAATTAGGCTACAAGGCCTTTTTTTGAAAGAAAAACTCGGGGCAGCCCCGGGCCCGCCTGAGCTTTGCTGAGCCCGAGGCCGGGCAGGCCTCGAATAGGTCGGGCCGGGGCCGGGTCGGAGCCTTAGTTCCAGGTGGCCAAGTAACCCCATCAGGGCGCGTCCGCCCCGCAAAGTCAGTCCATCTCTACTTCTCTTCCTTCTACGTACTCTGATATCCCCCTTAGACATGTTGCCAGCTCTACTCCAACCAAGCCTGTCAAGAACGCGAAGGTTACTCCAGACGTCAAAGGCAAACGTAAGGCGGTCAATCAGGAACCCGTCAGCTATGTTGAGGATGAATTTGAATCCGAAGACGAAGAAGAAGAAGACGCACCTCCACCTCCAAAAGTGACTCGCAAGTCTCCTAAGAAACCCGCAAAGTCCAAAGCCAAGAAAGTCAAGGAAACCGATGAATAGGGCTGTGGATTGTTTTATTTCTGCATTTTGGTCCCTGTTTTCTCTATTGTCGCGCACTCTGTCCTCCCCTCTTATCCTGCCGTCGTCTTCGATTTGTCTCATCAATAATCGTCCCCGTTCGTACATTCGACTGTGACCGTCCAACTATGCACCATGTCATTCCTTTTTATGTCTCTTCCTTCTCAATCTGTTGCATCCCTAATTGTCTTACGCTTCACGTCAACCAATAATGTACTCTTCTATTTGTTTGCACTATATCACCTATGGTCGTTCGCTCCCATTACGATAATTTATCTCATTCCATGACGTGCGCTAAGAATAAACAACTGATTTCGATCGTACATGATGCTTTAGCCTCGGTCATCGCATCCACATGCTTGTCCCTGGATCGACGCTACACCTGTCCCAAACTGCCCCGTAATCTTTCCAATCTTACTGACTAGATCCGCCGAACCGTTTGCCACCACACCGCACCGTCCTTTCCTAACGCTCCACCTGGTCCATCAACCAGCAAGGCACCCAGGTTGGACTCATAGGTGCCTTGCTTCATTGTGGGGCCACATCGAACACACCCATGTAAGGTATTATGATTATCTCCCTGCCATGCCCCAAAACTTCTCATCCTACTCATCCACTTCTCCATCTTCGAGCTCCCTTCATTTCAATCTCCCAATCACCCAACCCACTTTTATTGTTAAACCACTACCCGCTACCAAATATTCCTGTGCTCACTACCCACCAGTTCTCCGTCGCTCTGCTATACATTTCCCCCCGCTACAAACTTGACCTATTGCACCTTCTCATTTAATCAACGATACCTCTTTACCTCATTTCTCCGGCCCTCTCACTCAACCGGGCTCCTATCACTATAAATTGGGCTTTTATTTCTTTTCGCATTGTCCTTTTCACTGTCCTTCAACTCAGGTGCGCCTATGCTTTGACTCAGCTCTTGTTCTCCACTCTGTTACTGACCCTTTTTTCCACCCTTAGCCATCTAACTCACTCACTTGATATCGTCAATAATATTACATCTCCTCCCGCTCACCTCGACGCATCGTCTCTTCTATTACTTTAAATTCGCTCTTAATTCTTTCTTCTCGTCGCACCGCTACTCTTTCAGGCTTATTCGACCCATCTCCTCCTCTTATTCTTCAAAGGAGCTGTTTGCTTCCTTTTGCGTCGTGCATTTCTCTATCTTCTCACTCGCGTAAGTCTACATTTCTACCAAACATTCATATTCCAGCGCACTGCTGACCCTTCTATCGCACTTTAGCCACTGAACGCACCCAGCGCGTATTGCTAATACCCAACATTTCCCTCTCTAACTATTCTACAATGGTCAACAACGGTCCGGCTGCGAGGACTGCAGAAGAGAATACTGAGTCTTCTATCTTAACAAGGTTCGCCGATGAGATGCCTTTCAACATCGGGACCTGCACCGACCCATGTAAGGACTGCGGTGCTTTGCATTGGAAGCTTGAACGTCCTAAGGGTACAAAGAGTGCCAAGAAGGCGTCTTTCTCAACTTGCTGCCAGCGAGGCGCTGTCAAACTGCCTACCCACCGAGTTGAAAATCGCATGACGCCGTTATTTCTGCAAAATTTGCTCTCAAAGCAAGATCGGAGTACGTCGACATCCTCTTTGCATCCCTCTGCTCAATGAACTAACTTTATAATCAGTTTCGAAAGATTTCAGGAAAAATATCCGTCGTTACAACAATGCGTTGTCATTCGCCTCGACAGGTACAAAGCAAGACATGACAGTAACGGGGAAGGGTGGATCTTGGACTTACAAAATCAGTGGAAGACTTACTCACCGCATTGGTTCTTTGTTTTCTGAGCCCGGTGTAAAGAAGAAATTCGCCCAAATGTTTATGTTTGGAGACGAGGGCGATAACAAAGGAGCGGCTAGGAGTGCTTTCGTCGGCGGCAAGCTCGATATTCCACTCATGCGACAATTCCAAGCCTTCATGTATACTCACAACCCCTTCGCCAAAATGTACAAGTCTGCCGAGCAGCTGCTGAACGAAAATACTGTCAAAACTATTAAGATCAAATCGATGCCTATTGCTGGACGGGATAAGAATCGGTATAATTTTCCGACCTGTGATGAGGTATCAGCAGTTATCGACGGAGATGGAGTCATTGGGTCCCTTGATCGCGATATCATTCTGCAGCGGGTTAGTGGTAAACTACGAAGGATATCGGAGTTGAATATGAACTACTTCTCACTCCGCTACCCAATCTTCTTTATGTTTGGATCCCACAGTTGGGATGAACATTACAGACACATGAATACTAGAAGTAAGATCCCTAATCTTTGTAATTTTAATACGATACTTATCTTTCTGCTTTACGACCTTAGGACCAAGTGGCAAAGTTTCAAATCTCGAATGGTTTGCCTATACCTTATTCAGCCGCGAAGGTATCTTCTCTCCAATCTTGAGAGGTGGTCGCCTATTTCAGGAATACTTGGTCAATATGTATGTCTGCGTCGAGAACGCCCGGATGAAATTCTTTAAGTTAAACCAGAAGAAAATTCGCGCCGACTTATACACAGGCGCCACCGACGCTTTGAACAACAACGACTTTGCGATTGGCAAGAAGATTATCCTACCATCCACATTCATTGGAGGCCCTCGTGCTATGCAAGAGCTTTTCCACGACGCCATGGCTTTGGTCCAGTGGTACGGGCCTCCTAGCTTCTTTATTACAATGACTGCCAACCCCCAATGGCCAGAAGTATTAGAAGCTCTTCTGCCAGGTCAAGACCCTTCCGACCGGCCAGACCTGGTTGCTCGTGTTTTCCACTTGAAGCTCGCCGAGATGCATAAAGATGTTTACAAAAGGGGTCGCCTCGGTAAAAATTTATCTAATGTTGACACGATCGAGTTTCAAAAGCGTGGCAATCCACACGACCACGCAGTCTTAATCAATGATCGGAAAACTACGCCGCAAACTCCCTCAGAAATTGACCTGACTGTCTCTGCCGTACTTCCCGATTCAGCATCTTCTCCTCAACTATATGCGTTGGTGACTCAATTCATGCTCCACGGGCCCTGTCACGCTGGCAAAACATGCTGGACTGGTACCAAATGCAAATATGGTTATCCTCGAGAATTCACTGAAACCACTGTAGTGTCAGAAAACGCTTACCCGGCATACAGACGTCCCGACGATGGCCGATTCTTCTTGAAGAATGGCTACCGGTACACGAACCGTGACGTCGTGCCGTACAACAGCTTCTTACTATTGAAATTCCGTTGTCATATTAACTGTGAAGTCACTGTCGGAATGAAGTCAGTGAAGTACTTGTATAAATACATAAGTAAAGGACATGATCGTCGTGTTGTAAAGCTTGAAGCGGAAAACGAACCAGATGATTTCATCAATGGGCGCGAATTAGCGGCTGCAGAAGGTGAGCCGCTTCTTTGGTCAAAAAATCTGGAAGACCGATTACTAACGAATATCTCTCCCAGCTGTTTGGCGCTTGTTTAAGTTCGTTCTCTCCGGAAGATGGCCCTCCGTCACCCGATTAGCATTACATCTCGAGAATGCACACACTGTATACTTCAACAACACTGAAGAGCTCATTAATGCGATTGATTCGGGACGAGCAGCGCGCACGACACTCACGGAATTTTTTGCCCTATGTGCCATGAATGCTGTACTGCCAAAATCGAAGGGAAGTGTTAGATCGTTACTTTATACCGAGATGACCGAACATTACTGGTGGTCTAAGGAAGAAAAACAGTGGTTACCTCGCGTGAACAAAACGGTCTCCATCAGCCGACTCCACTTCGCTGGTCCTAGCCATGGAGAACGCTACTACTTGCGATTACTACTTACGCATGTACGAGGACCAAAATCATTCCGTAACATTCAAACAATCCACGGCCAAGTTTACAAGAGTTACAGATCCGCGGCAGATGCACTCGGTCTATTGATGTCCGACACTCACATCGAAGCCTGCTTAACAGAAGCAGCCCGTTTCAAAACTGGTAGACAACTTCGCGAGTTGTTTGGCCTGATCTTGGTTCATAGCCCACCCGCGAATCCTATGAAATTATGGGTCAATTTCATAGAAGAACTCTCCAACGATTGTGAATTTACTTTGGCACTCCTGTCACCAACTATCAAGCCCACGATTGAGCAACTAAACAACTATGCCCTTTCGCTAATGGAGAACATCGTGGCACACATGGGCAAAACGCTACACGACGTAGGTTTAGAAGCTGTGAATCCCGACTTGTTGGTCGCCATTGGTGGTCCTACAAAATACGAAGATGAGAATGGCACGACCCAGGATGCGAGCCGAAGTCATATGAAAGCCAACTTAGACGCGTTGACATTGGAGCAGAAAGCTATATTTGACCACGTCGAAGAAAGGCTACAGGCCGATGAGGGTGGCCTACTCTTTGTAGACGGACCGGGAGGCTGTGGGAAAACGTTTCTGTTGAACCTATGTCTTCACCATTGCAACGCAAACGCGATACCATACGTAGCGGTTGCTTCCTCAGGTATTGCATCACTACTGTTGTTGAACGGTGGTACAGCACATTCCAAACTCGGTATCCCATTAAAACCTAACGAGACATCAACTTGCAGTTTTTCCAGGAGCGATCAGACCGGGTTGATGTTATCAGGCGCTAAATTCATGGTATGGGACGAGATTTCTATGATGAACAAGTCGGCAGTCAAATGTGTAGACCGCTCACTCCGAGATTTATGATCTTCCGATGAGCCTTTCGGTGGCATGGTAGTCCTTTTTTCAGGAGATTTCCGACAAATCTTGCCAGTCGTGATTCATGGTAGTCTCCTAGATGCTGTTCGTGCGTCCATTAAACATAGTTATATTTGGCAATGTGTAGAGAGGTTCCGCCTCACCAAAAATCTTAGGTTGCGAATGGCGGCGGACACAACGAATTCTAGTGGTGAAGACTTTGCGAGTTGGCTTTTGCGATTGGGTTCTGGGAGTCTGCAACATGACCCGGTTGCTTTGATAGATTTAGAGCATGTCAAAATCAAGTATTACAAACCCGCTCATTTGTTTGATAAGGCTCTTTTGTTCAAATTCTACTCGGAAGTTCATGGATTGATAACCCAACAAAATTGGGCACAACTCGCTGTCTATTATTCGAGTCGCGCTGTAATCACTCCTCTCAACAAAACGGTCGACGTAATGAATCAGTTTATGTTAGACAAGTTGAAGTCACGCGTGAAACACTACCAATCAGTGGATGAAATGGATCTAGACTGGGCTGAACAAGTGAGCACCGAAGTTTTGAATTCTTTCAACTTCGCAGGCTTTCCAGCACATCTATTACAATTGAAAGTTGGAGCAGTTGTGGTCGTGTTGAGGAATCTGAATTGGCAGCAGGGACTAAGTAACGGCACACGACTTTTGATAATTGAAGTTTGTGATAACGTGTTACAATGTCAAATCATCACCGGTCCAAGAGCTGGTAACCTATTGAGTCTGCCAAGGATGAGACTTCATCACCCTGGGAGTGAGTCAGTTCCGATTTCATTTTATAGGTTACAGTTCCCGATCACTTTGGCCTACGCGATGACCATCAACAAAGCCCAAGGTCAGACTTTAGGGACAGTGTGTCTAGCTTTACCGACACCAGTCTTCGCACATGGACAATTGTATGTTGGTTTGTCAAGATGTACGTCAGCAGAGAATACCACTGTTTCTTTGCCCGGTCCCGAAGAAAGTGGTCAAACAACATGTGTCGTCACACACCAAGCTATGAGGTAGGTACACAGTGTGTTGAGGTACATGCAAGCCTCAGAACGTTTAATGTTCAACTTTGTATCTGTAATTTCTTGTACGTTGAGTCTGTAATGCATTTAGTTACATGCCATTTAATGACCACAAAGACCAGTAGCGTCTGGCCCAGACGATATCTCTGCCTGTCGAAGCTAAATTTAGGTGACTGACTTCAGGTCAGTTGTGTCCAGTGCGGATAAGATTTTGCGGCTGGACCGGCTCGACATTCTCATGATAAAACTCTTGGCTGAGCGCAGACGGGACATGTGGCTACTAGACATTCTCATGATAACACTATTGGCTGAGCGAAAAATGACGTGTGGCTAAACGTCTGAGAAACCGGACTAAGACGAAATGCAGCTTTGTTCAAGATGAAGGCTGGGATGGCGAGGAAATTCCTAACCAGTCGTAATGAGGAAGTAAACAATATGTATAAAGGTTGACGGTGTTGCCATAATCGCTGCTTCTTACCTAACTTGAGTTTCTTCAAAAAATCAATAAGCCTACGATCCTAACTGTACGAACGCGGGATTCGCTGACTCAAGCACTCATATTTAATTTTGACGCCGAAACCCCCAAACATGGATATCTTCCGGTACAAGCGATTGCCTGTAATGTGGGAAGGTACACTGACCCTTGGCAAAAAGGTACGTAGCCCCTGACGGTGATATGCTTCCATAAGATTAATTGTGATATTTAGCTTACAGGAAATGACTACGAGTACCGTCAAAGATTCAACGCCGCCGCCTTGAACAACCTCCATATCAACCACACAGACAGGCTCATAATAGTTGACGAACATGCTTCTTCCGAGCTGACAGCGGAGCATGCCTATAGTGTCAATGGATCTCTATTAATCAAAAAGAAAACTCAAACAACGGAATTATGGATCATGCCGCAAAGGAATAATGTCATCAATAAGGATAATGAGATATTGGAGCGTCAAGGAAAAGTGTTCATATCCGCGCTAGGCGTAGTACGCAGTTGTGAAAGAAGAGGGGACAAGGACGTAGATGAATGGTTAATTGCGATAGTTACCCATTGGGAGTACGATAACGAGGTGAGTGGCTGGTACTAATCAAAGAGAAATGGATAGCGCTAATGTATATCTGCAGGTGTTTGGTTATACAGAGTTTGAAATGGAATATTGGATACGGAGAACGGACAATCTGGACGAGGACTGGATTGTTATTGGAAGTGAGGTAACATTAATGGGAGAACTCTTCAGCTGTGGAGTGAATTCGGCTATGTGGCAAGTGAAGGTAAACTACATAGCTTGATTTTGTGAGAGAAGTCGAACGACCGGTCTGAGGAGTAAAAGATATCACGAGAAGGGGATACACAGTACATGAGAGAGGAATATGTAGTACTAATCTGGCCTAATGTATGTATAATTCTAGTGTAATACTACCACATGTATAGTAGCATAGGCAATGTCAGTAATGAAATGTCACGGCAATATAAAACAATACTCGTTGGGGAACAGGGCACTGCTAAGATGCTATATTCCTATGGGTGGCGGGCCACCCAATACCTCGTGTTATTTATAATGTAGCACGCAGAGTGACTTACCAAGAGTTTGACAAGCTCATCTTGCCAGATTGTGTGACAAAAGAGGTGGCCATGTGATGGTGAACTAGAGCCAAGAGGTGAGTGACGGGCCAGTGGAATGGAATGGAGGTTGCACCACAGGTGACAGCACCCTCAAACTTTTTTCTCTCTGCTGCGTTGTGACTGCTGCGGTAAATTCTGGGTCAATTCTGTTTTATTTTTTCTTGATCAGGCCAAGCGTTTTAGCAAAAGTAATACAACTAATCTACGTAAAACCAACGTATTTTTACAAGAACGGGAAAGTTGTTGTACCGTAAGAATATGTAAAAGCCTTTAACTTGAAACCCTTCGACACCAAACTTGAAACCCTTCGACGCCGGCATGGAGCTACGTGAAATGGATAAGTTTACGCAGTGATCACGTAAGCGGCATCTTCTTGTAAAGAACTTTGAATGTACCAATCCACTTGAAGTAAGTTAGAGAGAATGCAAAGCAGAGGTTAAGATGCAAATTGTATACCTTAAACCTTATATGAATTTCCAAAACCCTGTTGGTTGAGAAACTTGTGAAGGGCTCTCAATTCTGATTGAGAACTTAATTTTGGGTTAATATTTTCCCACAAGGCTGGACCTAACATCAACACGATGAAATCAAAAATCCTGTTTTGTCTTCTCCTTTCTAAATCACAAACTCGAGTTTCTTCAATGGAACAAGCCAAAAGCTTTGAATCCGGGATCACCAATGAAGTTCTACAAGGGTTACCTGCGCTACGTTTGAACATGCATCAGCACAAGCCGCAAGACTTTCAAGGCAGATCACTAACCTATTATTGGCCTTGTCAACTCGAAGACACTCCACGGGGAGTTGGCTCTGAAGCTGTCATATCTTCTGCTTGGTTAGGCGAAGCGCGTCTGTTTTTAAACGAAGCTGATGCCGTAAAATGCATAACCTCACAACTTGAAGACAAAAAAATCATACCCGGGACCGTTCCTGACAATATCGTTCACGAGAAAGGGTCCTCATCTTCACAAGACGTGGAAGATCTGGCTGAAATTACCCACAAAAAAAGTTCATCTTCTGAAGCTCTTTATCATGATGGAGATGATACGCCTAATTCGGTTACAACATCTATGTGAGTATGTGTGAGAAAATGGCTGTAGTTCAGGAGCTCATCGAAACTCTTTCAACATACGCTTGCCTGTTTAGCTTCGAAAGCAAGAGCTCACCTCTCAGCAGATTGAATCCAGGAGCAAGTCCTTACAGTCCAGTGATCCAAAAGGGATACCCCTCGTGGCACAAAGAAAATACGTAAGGCGGTTCATTTCTCGGGGCAACACCAATGTTATGCATATTTGATGGTCGATCTTATCTCTCCATTTTGCACTTTCATGGAAATCGCAGTCGTATGGTCAGGGGTGAAAGGTTCCATAGACCTCTTGAGAATCGGAAGTTGGAAAAGGGTCCTTATAAGAACAATCCAAGTGCTAAAGCCGCGATCGCAGTCAACCAGAATAATGCAATCTCATCACGTGCCACGAAATTTTGGAAGCCTGTGAATTCAGCATCACCTATCACTCCCACTGAAGGAAAATTGAATGCACAACCAGAAACTGCTAAAGTGAATCAACAGGAACACCACGAATCCATGGAAGAGGCTGTGGAGACTTCAATTCAGAACCAGGGGTTTGTGGCATCTTCTTGAAAGATGAATGAGATTGTATCACTAAATAGATTTTGGATTTTCTTTCGATATTGTCTTTGTCCCGCTATCAGAGGTGATCATCCTCTCCCAGGAATCCCCAGGAGGACAGCCATGGGTCAAATATATCCCGATCAATCCCTTAACCATTGGGATACAAGAAAACAAGAAAATGATCCTGGAAGGGATGGAAATCCAAGATTTATCGACAGGAAAGGAAGCATCAGTGAAGTCCAAAACCCTAAAGATCATCCGCAAGATTCAGCCTCTGTGTCCCCAGTATGGCCTCTATTTTTGAATGAGATCGAAGCAAGGGCTCCGGAAGATCAGTTGAAATCAGATCCATGGGAAAACAACGGCTCTAACCGAGAATATCTAGACATTTCAAGTCGCCAACAAAAGTGCGTGTGTGTTTTCATTGACCATCACGCAAAAGATTTCTGAAGTACGTCTGGAATAAATTCTGATGTGTATCTGTTTAGCGATGGAGAGTTGAATGAAAAGGTGGAGCAGCCCAACATCTTGTCAGATCAGATACACAAGAAGGAAAACAAAAATCTTGAAAGCGAGTTGATAGGAATTTTCGTTGAGAAAAAAAGGTGTGTTGGAACTAGATTTTTTTTCGCCGGCTTTCATCCCTGAAATGTTTTTATTATTGTTTGATGATCAACACATTATGATCCTTAGAGATCAAGAAACAAAAAGTGAACTCAATCAAAGAAAAACCTTTGCAGATAGTCTCAAATCCAATGTAAACGATTCTGGTCATTCCAAGAAGAAGATGAAAGGAATTTCCGCGAAGAAAACGAGGTGTGTCGTAAGCGGACCAACCTTTGAAGACTTTTTATCACTGAACTACTTTTATGATTGTTTGATGATGCATGTTTTTTAGAGATGAAGAGAACAAAGGCAAACCCAATCAAAGAAAACCCTTTTCAAATATTCTCAAGTCCAATTGGAGTGATCCTCAAGATTTCGAGAAAACTTGGGCAGGTGTTTCCGGTCAGAACATGAGGTTTGTGCAATCTCTCAATAGTCTCCAAAGAAAGCAAGTCAATAAAATTTCCCTTCTACCTTCCTAAAACTCCGATAGAGATCAAAAACCAACTCTAATTTCTGTGAAGAAACAAATATCACAGAACTCTGCGATTGGGGCACAAGCAGAAAACACAGAAAGTCCCATGTCAAAGGATGCAGGCATACAAGATGAACACAACAACCCAGCAGGGTCAGAAGAGTCATGGAAAATAAAAAAAGGCAAAAAGTGGAAAAATAAGTTTGATTCATCTATAGAACCACATTCATATGTGCCAGAAGACAAGGAAATAGAAACACAGAAAAGCTTGTCACCAAACAAAGAAGTTTTATATGAGAATATGACCGGTGACAAAGTCAAGGAAATTAGGGATGCTGCAAATATAGCTGGTGAAAACTTTCTACAACTGAAGGGCAAGAGCACAGAAGATCATTTGGCACCTTCTGAAGGAAAATCAGAGTTACTGGAGGGCGGCAAGAAGTCAAACAGAGAAAAGAAGTCAAGAAAGAAGACTGAGAAAACAAAGTCCAAGGTATCTCCTACTGGAAAAGCTAAAAAGGATGATTGGGAGGATATCCCCATCCTACCAGAAATTCAAAATGATGAGCATTTGCAAGTGACCAGACATTCAAATCTGGAGAAATTACTGAAGAGTATCATCAAACCAGAGAATAAGGAAGATTTCATGTATATCAATCTTTCAGATGAGACCGCCCATGCAATTATCTCAGAACAAGATCCTGAGGACTCAAAAAAAATCATAGATGATATTGCTCTTTATAAGCGTAAAGTTGAAGGCTTGCTTGGGCAGCCTGAGGCAAATAGGAGGTTCATAGCTTTCAAAGTTCAGTTCAGTCAAAAGGTGGCCATCAAGAACTGGAAAGTGCTCAAGAATGGGTGTGACAGTGATGTCAATCAATTTCTGAAGCTTCTACGTGTACAGAATGAATGGCCTGTGTTTTACACTGCAGAATCAGGAGAGAGTACAATGCTCTTGAATAAATTGAAAAGCTTTGCACAAGAGCAAGTAGATGATATTTTAAGTATCATGAGTTTTCAAGAGATGTGCCAGCGTCTGGCAATCATGGAGGCCATGTCAGAAATCAATAGTCAGGGTTATGGAAAGGTCTTTTCAGAAAGAAGACTGCAGTTCTTGCGAAAGCAAGGAGTGCCAGTTGCAGCTTTGCTCAGGATGGAACATCTGTTGGGTTTGAAAGCTCCATTGGAACAAAATGCCTATGTAAGAGACAGACCAAGTAACAAACTTCTTGAGATATATTATTTGATGCAGGGACACATCAATGGAAAACCTGAAACTGAGGTTTCTATGTACAAGACAGAATGGATTCATTCTCCTGTGCGAAAGTACCTTGTTGAGAGTGATGAAAAATTGAAAAGAGATTTTGAAGATCGATTTTGGTGCATAGCTGAACAAGGAAGATTTATTACAGCAAAGCTCAGTGATTTTCAGGAATATGGAAGCCATCTTCAGGATGATTTGAAAGAAACCAAGTTATCACTTGATAGAGTTCTTCTCACAGCACATTTTGGTATCACACCTCAAAGATTGGCAGAGATGCAAACATCTGATTGTTGCCTAACTGATGCCATATTTTCAGGTATGACCATAGATCCTAGATTTTGTACACAGAATGAGGCACAAATCATTGGGCATGAAGCAGAAAAAGACCAATGGGATAAGCTGGCAAGTTTTATCAAAAGCATTAAAAAAAGGGTGCCAAAAATGTTAAAGGCTTTTGAAAAGCTTGAGATAACTCAAATATATCACAGCCCTGACTTGGAATCACAAGTCTTGAAAAGATTTTTCAGTAACTTTGCACCTGAAAATGAATAAAAACAAATTCAAGGGTTTGGACCATAGTGACCTGCCATGTATCCTCATTATTTCCCCCCTTCTAACTACATAGTGTTTTCCTTCATTCATTTTTACATGCTGGGAGACATTGAAAGACTGTTTTGAGTATCTGATTGGGAAATATGTCTTGCTCTATAGACCCAAAGAATTCACTTAATTCATCATGTAACTCACCCTGACTGTGGTCATCTAGAATTATATACTCAAAGGGAGGGTTTTTCCATGGATGGAAAGCACTCCATGCATTTCATTGAGTCAAAACCACTTGATAGTAATATGAATACCAGTGGTGTACCCAAAGCATTCTTGGGAATGATTTTTACAGAGAGTTATAATAGATGATAATATCCTTACCTTTGTTCTACACTTGTTCTGTTGGGTTTTTCAAAAGCTCAATAAAAACAATGTGCAAAATCCAGTGTCCAAGAAGGAACATGAGAGGGATTATTTGTGCCACTACAAGTAAGACTTGAACAGCCATAGGAGATTTGTTTGTTGTGATAAACCTTGGCTAGTCAATTTTGGGGTCACTTTGAGCTCTATTTGTACCCTGTTGTATAAAGTATTGCATTTGTTAATCTTACTCCACAAAACATACATAAAAATTTCTGCAAAAACAGAGAAGCACTCAAACTGGAGATCTGAATCCCTCAAGATAATCTCCATTTATGTAATCTCAATCAATATATTGAGGTCATGTGCTTTGAATTCTACGATATTCTTGTGGTCAACAAAATCCATTAAGGGGGTTTGAATTGGCATTTTTTAGGTGTTTATACCCTACAACAACTAGCATGTTTTTGTAAGATATATGTGTGATTTTGTTAAATCAGAAAACATTTTTTGGTGTCCCAAATTAAAATCCACTGGTGTTATAAGGATGGAAATGTTGCAAAATTTGACCGGGTGTTTAAAAAATACACAAAAATGTCTCAAACTTGTACACCTTATTGGCCTTTTTTTCAGCCAGTGACCACTGTAGTAATTTTACCATCACAAGAGGTAAACAGTACTTGAAATAGTAATATTAACCATTGCAGACAAGAAGTAGAAGAGGTGCCTAAAGGGTACTCTCTCTTAGATTCATTAACAAGATGTCATGCTCAAAAAAAGACTGCTCAACACTTATACTAGTGTTATTCCCAGATTTTTACGCAACAGTGAATAATAAATTTGATTCAAAACAAAAATAACACTTCTCAAATTAAATATATCCCTTTTTGAGGGGTCTTCTGTTAAAGTGACCTAAGACTACACTAGAAGATCAACTATGTAAAATATCTAATGCGCTATCATAGAGACCAAAAGAGATCAAGCACAACAAAGCTCTGCAGACAATCACCATTCTTATACTTTCTTTCACACTAATTCATGTGAACAACAAAATAAACAACCAAGTGATTCTCCTCATCACACAAAAGCCATAACACAACTGAAAAGGTACAATAGTTGAACAATAACACAACAGAAAGGAGGCTATAATTGAAAAGGGAATGTAAAAAGTAACCCATGATTGAAGTTGTACGCTGTAGAACTTATAACCCAACAAGGGTTATACAGAGCGTGGAGGGGATAATCTACCAATAAATGACTAGTAGAAGAAGGCTATGGACTGCCCTCCTAAAACAAGGAGAGCAACACCAGGTCAAAGGATTCCATTAGCCTAGTGATAGTTGGTAGTTGTTAGTTATTGGAACAGACCCCAACCTAAATTGGGATATGCCCATTTTGACATACATATCCCAATACAGCGCCTTGAGCCATTGTTTCCGGATGTAGTCATCAATTCACATCCCTGAGCCCCCTCCAACTACATAACACGGCAATGAAAATCATCATCAAGTGTGCTCATGGATGACCAAGAAGCTCATTGTTGCAAAAATGAACATATATACCTACCACATCAAGGTATGAGCTTATAACTTCTTGGATTTACCAACCTTCATTTCTGACACAGTCATTTCATCACCCAGCCCCAAGAGTGATTGAACTCATACAACATTCATCTTCTCCAATGAATAGTTGTGTGCCCAATCATACCCTAACACCTATCAATCCATATCAACCTTTACCCTTTGAACCAATTGCCTCATTCAACACCGGTGTCATTCAAAGGAAAAGGCTTTACTGGTTGGGAATTGGTGAAGTGTTTTACTTTCCCATTGACCACCTGGAGACATTCAAAACATTCATTGCACATCACTTGATGAAGGATGTCTCTGCATTGTTGAAATGCCAACAATTATGATCAATCAATCTTTTTTTCAGTCATCAACAAGTCCAGAATAACCAAAGGGCCACGGTAGTGCAACTTTTGGCAATTCAATGTCAATGGTAGTGTTACCGTGATTGAGATCAGCTCAAATCAAAGGGTTTAAACAACAGGGTCCATCATTTTTGTACTATTAGATGTCTCATGCATTGTGTATTACACTGCAGACATTATTCGGGTTCCCCAAGTGGGCAGGGAAAAATGATTGGGAGTATGATTTGTCATAAAATGGTCTATCACTCCACACCTGAGCCATAACACCCACACTACATATGTGTAGCAGGCTCAGTGAATATGTGGTTATCATGTACATACAGTTCTGCTCAGTTATCTGCTCATCAGGACAAGTTATTCATATGTAATACATGCTGTAACTTCTTTCAGATTGAAAAAAGCTTCCAAAAGATTGACTACATACACTGACTCAATGTTTTGGTGTGATCTCATCAACTCAACTGCATGTAACACACTTTCTGTTACTAAGACATAGCTTCAACAATATTGCCTGAGCAGCTACAGAATTATATGTAGTGAATTTTTGGGAAAAAAATTTCAAAGTCGAAAAAGTTACATGTGGTATAACATGTGATTTATTTATTCTGATGGGCAAAAAACTGAGCAGACCTGTATGTACATGATAGACAACTATTGACTTAGCTTGCTGCACATATGTAGTGTGGGTGAAATGGCCCAGGTGTGCAGTATTAGATTCTTTTATGAAAAACTGTACTATTAATCATTTTCCTCTGCCAAATTGGGGAAGTTGAATGATGTTTACAGTGATTACAGACTTGTGACACTTGACACATATTGAAATGTTGGAAATGTCTGGATTCAAAAAATAACAACTTCATGCTAACCAATTCCTTGGGTCTTTGGTTCTTCTGAGAACAAGACCATCAGAAAGGGGAACTCTGTTGAATTTAGTACTGATAAGGCACCAGAGAAAAGTATCTTTAAAGGAACAAAAGCACATGGATTTTAACCCCAAAAGCACAATTTGATTTCTCTCAACACTGCTATAGTGTTATTCCAATATGGTAACTGAGAAAACAAAGCAGCATATTCTTGATATTATTCCCAATAAGTATTTTTCACTATAACACTAAAGTAAATTTCTCTTTACAACTGTACTAAAGGGTGTATTTAAGTGACCAGGTACTGTTAAAATAACTTTACAATGATAAACAAAATAATAACTGCATAGCTGATGAAGAATAAAGGGGAACAAAAATCTCAAAATCATCCTTGAGTATATATATCAATGTGTTACAACTCTTACATTGGTCAACAGCCTCAAAACCCAACCAATTTTGACCAAAAACCCCTAAAAATCATATAATAACACAATGTAATGACTTTGTTACTGAGAGATGATGTAATTTACACAGCAAAAGTGATCAATGATTTAATTGAATGTCACACAGCACGTCTTATGATCAATACAGGTGATTTGTTCCTTGTAAACTGGCTGAAAACCTACAAGTTTTTCCAAATGATGTCCAATTTTTTATTACTAAAGTGCATCTTTTAGAGCTCGTGATACTGATCAATAATTGGTGCCATATTAGTTACTTCTGACACTACACAAATTGTCATCTTTACCGGGCAGTAAAGAAAACTACTGACATAGAAAAGTCCTGAGGCAACAGGAAGAGAGCTAAAAATTTGAAAAAATATGCACCTTGTTCCTAGATGTTGGGGCGTCATCACGAGTATTTTTTTGTATTTTACACACAGATATTGGTGAATGTACTAACAATAAAGGCTGAGAATCATCAAAAACCCACCTGTAACAATACCTGAAATTTGGCCCTTGACTTTGAAGACAGGATTTTGAAATCTTCAAACATCAATAACTTTTGCAGTTCTGAATTAAATCACTCGATTTGAAGTGCATTGAAAAGGTGAGCCTTTCCTCTACATTTTTCATTGAGACATCACATCTGTAGCTGGTCTAAAAAAGATCCTACAGAGCTATTCATGCAGAACTGTTTGAACATATGTAGAGTGTTTAAATGACTAGATAGCACCTTACTAACATTATGAAGTGTGAAGGAAAATAGTTCAGCTTTTGAATGAACCAAAAATCGAGTTATTTGGAGCAGAATTGCAAAAGTTATTGAAGTTTTTAGACCACAAAATATTGTCTTCATACTCATGACCCAAATTTCAGGTATTGTTACATGTGAGTTTTTGATGATTTTCAGCGTTTATTGTTAGTACATAAACCAATATCTGCGTGTAAAATACAAAAAAATACGCATCATGACACCCCAACATCTAGGAACAAGGTGCATATTTTTTCAGATTTTTAGCTCTCTTCCTGTTGCCTCAGGACTTTTCTATGTCAGTAGTTTTCTTTACCGCCCGGTAAAGATTACATTTGGTGTAGTGTGATTAGTAATGGATGAGTGATTGAGTCGTGAAGTTAAGGTTTTTGTATGTAAATGTTGTTACATGTACAGCCATTCCGGATTTGCTTGTCGCAATCTTTTGAAAAAAGAAAGTGAGCAAGCTTGAAACCTAAGTCTTTTACCAGATAAAACCTTGAATTTGGCTGTAAAATCTCAAGGATTATACATTGGATTATCCCAAAACCCATACACCTTTGATAAAAAAAATTAAAGTCCAGCCACCTTCCGCTTTGAGCAACCAGCACTGAGCAGCAACTGTTCAACCGCTGTCCACTTCATCAACTGTACAATTCAACAGCTGTACACCTGAAGCATGCCCTCCTCAGTTCAACTAGCCATGCAGTAAGCACACCTGCAGTTCTTAGTCTCCCTCAAGGCTGTCACTAACTAAACTGATCACGTGTACATATTATTCTGCCCTTGCTTTAGGGCTCGTGGACGACCGGCCTCGTCTTTGGTTGCCATGCGACAAAGTGCCTCACCTAATCGACTGCCTGTTTCAGGAACCACACGAGCTGGGACTTTGTTTGAATTCAAGATGACAGCATTCAAATCCCATCATGTCAGCATAGCCGATCAACACAGAGGAGTTCGGCCCACTTCAGCCTGCCAACAAACTGGTCCAATTTCAGTCAGAATTGACCTAGCAAATTTGACCCTTCAGGAGTTCAAAGACACAGTTGCTGACTTGGCCGAAGGATTTCTTATGGGCTGTGAAGTTTTGTTCAAAGAGGCTGATATTAAGGGTACCATTGATTACTTCGGCTGGGTTTCTAATAACTCAAGCTTTCCCAAGGGTCGTCAACAAAACATTGGCAAAGATGTTGACTTTGAGCGCTTCAAAGTGGTCGTTTCTGAAAACTAGACCATAGGCGGGCACGCCCGCCCTGAGGCTAAATGAATAAAGCCTGAGCTTAAAGCATGAACTTATAACAATAGGTATGAATCACATTCCAGATGATACAAATTCATGATTCAACTGTTGCAAAACTTGAAGCATAAATTTAAAATGCTAACATGCATAGCTAAAATAATAATTTCAGTGCTTGATGTTATGAAGATAAAGTTAAAATTGAGTAATTAGCAATAAGACACAATAGCTCAACATAACACCTCTTTTGTGATTACATCCTGGCTCATGACCTTATAAATTGAGCTGTTGCCAATGGGAAAACCTCTACCTTCACATTCAACAACCTAGGCTTGACACTGTAATCTGACAATGGAGAGTCAGTTTCATGTCATAACCTAAACAGTAAGAACAACTTAGGAGCATCATCCAACATGTCATGTGTATGTCAAAGGTGTAGTTTCCCCACATATTCATCTTCATACAAACACCTGTTTCAAATACCAACAAAACCGATAGCTCTTTGTCTAAAATAGGAGTTGGAAATCAGAATATTAATATAACATGAGATATAGGCAAAGAATCCAATGCGCACATACAATCATCAAACAGGGAACAAACTTTGTTCAGAAAGCATTGATTATCAAAATCTGCTGTAACAACCTCTTGAGTGTTGAAAGATGGCATGGTTATGATTTGATTGAATTTTATGTTAGAGCTTAAGACACTTATTGACAACTGAAATTATTAAGATTTGATGATGAGAATAAAGTGTAGCCTTTTGTAGGTAGTGGGGTAGGGATCAAAAACTTTGGTAATGACCTTACTTTATAGTCTTGAGGCAGAGAGTATCAATAGTTAGTAACACATCAAGCAAAATTACATGTAATGTAACAGAAAGGTAATTTTCATCATCAAGACTTGCCATTGCCATAGTAGTTTGCACCAAAACAGGTATCTAAGCAGTAGCCCTAACCTAGTGTTGATAGCTATTAATGGGAATAGAAAGAATGGCAAATGACATAAACATTTGGACATGCATGAGGGGAAAAAGATTCATGAGATTGTAAAATAAGGTTGGAGGTCAATTGAAATAATCCCTGGTATCCTATCTGGAGTCATATGATACATGGTCTAACCTCACTTCAAAAGGAATATAATCCCAATAGCTATATATCTGAATGTGCATATTGGAAAGTTCCGTTTGAGCCTCAATTAAAAAACCCACTATTTTGGATGTAAGCCTACAAATCTGTGTCTCTCTGCATTCATTAATACAACCGCAATATGTGAGTTGATGATCCTCTACTACGTTTAGGGAAATAATCATTGTGTAGAAAATTACAGGGTGCTACATTGCACTCTAGAATTCATGAGTTTCTCTAGAGCTCTGAAGGTCATCTTCACTTCTGCTTTGATTATAATATTGGTCTTGTGAGCATGAGGTAGTACACAACACTTATATTCCATTATAAGCAGCTGAGTGTGATATATGACAAAAATAGCAACCTTCAGTTGGTTAAGAGTTGACAGAGAGGGGAAGCTCCACACTTACCAGGAGTAATGAAGGGAGCAAAAATAAACTCCATTAGAGTTGTGATGCAAAAGACTTCCAATGTTCCTTGATTGTAGAATCTATAAGCAATATTGCCGCAATATTCAACTTCAGCCTGTAGGCCAACCTTGTACCCTAACATGACCAGATTTGATATAAATTTTTATTCAGGTCACTGATATATCAGCACTAATTAATTGAAAATTTGACATTTAGAAGGGATCTTAACTTTATCAAGGCTAGATGATAATAAAGTAACAAAGTCTGTATTGAAGACAGCCTCTCCAATAGATGAAAATTGAGGAGACATTGAGATACTCTGCAAGTCGTTCAAGAAGTGCAATGTAGGATGGCTTCTTGGAACATGCTGTATAGTTGACATCTTGACTTTGAAGTAGGAAGCGTAGAAATCATGTAGCCTCACACTTAGAGCTAACCCAGGGACTGATTATTTAATTGTAGCATATGACATACCTTGTAAAAGTCAGCAAATGCGCACTAAAAAGGCTAGTTACCTATTCAGGGTTCCGTCCACAGAATGTTGAGAAACTGAATAAAAGAGCCCGTGTAATAGACAGTGTCAAGTTTGATATTCAGCATGAGCATAATCACAACTTTGAGACCACTTGTTTTAAAAATGAGGCTTGTCAGTCCTAGTGTTTCAGTTCCCTCTTTGTTGCGTAATCAAGCATTACTTTCAACATGATCAGTCCATTGATAATGCACAAATTGAGAGGGTACACTGCATATCTCTACGCAGAATGACTATGAAAATTGACTACCTAGATAACTTGCGTACTATCCATGCATCAGAGTACTAATGTAGGACAATGTCATTTTTCAGTCCAAGGTGATGAGACTGTTGTATGGTTAGTCTCAATGCACAATTTATCTTAGCTTCTGTCACAAGATGAACCAAGTTATCAAAAGAGATTTGTCTTGATTACTTTGCAAACCCCTTGATCAATGAGATGACGGTCAGGCATGATGAAGACTGAATACCTATCAAGATTTTGGATCAAGGTGAGGTATTAGAAAGTTACAACGCTAGCGCTAGCTATGAATATGAAAGGCAGTAAAAGTTCATGATACTCACCTCAACTGATAGTGTAAGTGTTGTTGATCATAAAAAAGGAAGAAGATAAGGGTCACAAATTCCTCACTACAAGGGTGATTTTTGTTAATACCCATAGTCAGTAAGGAGAAGAGAAAAAGACAACATTGATGGTACTCACATGTGAAAGTTATTTGATTCAGTTTTATGTGATAATACTTGAAAAGATGAGAATGAGAGCCATAAGATTGAAGATAATGTCTGAGGACAAAGGGAAGCTCTTATATACGCGAGAGGATTAGTGATAAATTTGAGGATGTAGGGTGAATAGAAGAACAGAATCTTGGGTTGAACAATATGATTGTATAGAGAAGCCTCATGGGCAAGTAATTATTTAGCATCGAGTTTATGTCAACAACTGAGCAGGAAGGTGAGAATAATACAGAGAAACAGGCTGTGTTGACAAATAGGCAGAGAAAGATTAAAGCAATGCAATTACCAGGTCAGATTGGTGATGATGAGAATAAGACGCAGGTGTAGTCACAACACATTGGGATAGGAGTGTAATGAAAGAAGATGTATTACATTTGCTGGAAGTGTTGTCACCTCTGGCACATTTGCATCACAGCTTGAGTGAATTTTGTAACAGCAGCTGCTGATGACACCGCCTCCTCTGGCTTGCTCAATCTGTAGCTGGCTGTTTATCCCGCTGTACCAAAACCAGCTCCATCATCCTCTCAATTCAACACCACCACCATTATCATCAATCAAAATTAACCCTTCTCAATAACAAATATCAATCCTCCTTGGTCTTACAACGCATCCAAAATCAACAATACAGAAGATTGAATTTTAATTACAGCATCAATAATGTTTAGATTGGTTTTGGTTTGATACTTTCTAAGCTACTGATTATTGATTGATGTGCGCATTTCTGTTGTTAGCAAAAGTGTATCTGATCATATTTGTTAGATGATTTACAATCAAGTGTTGTTCAACATATGGGAAGAGAGTGAGTTCATGTGAGGATAAATGAACACTATCCAACTACTTCTCACAAGACTTGGCAGATTGTTTTCAAAGAAAATGACAATCACAATGAGTTTGTCAAGAAAAGGAAGAGAATTTTTTTTGAACTAAAGTCAATTGTTATTGACCATGTTATCATATATTATTGGACCATATCCATTGTTTCATCCTTATCACACTTTCTGTTTTCTCATTCATCTCTTACCAATCACCCACAAGCCAACATTTATATACATTCAGTCTACATAACAGCTCACTCTTTCCCTGTCTGTCGCATTTGGAAGCACTACATTCTCAGAATGAAGGTCTAGGTTTGGACATGTCTTGTGAAAGGATAGGACTCAAGTTTTGATCAGAAGGTAGGTTGAGTGTAAATGCTACGTACAAGATATCTGCACCAAGTTGGAGTTGTCAAATTGAACAATTAAAAGATGGATTGAGCAATTGAAAGATGGATTGAGCAATTGAAAGATGAATTGAGCAATTGAGAAGTGAATTGAACAATTAAAAGATGAATTGGGCGATTGAAAAGTGAATTGAACGATTAAAAGATGGATCGAGTAATTAAAAGATGAATTGAGCGATTGAAAAATGAATTGAACGATTAAAAAATGAATCAAACGATTAAAAAATGAAAGCAATAATCCAAGACTTGAGCGAATTAGGTCGCAAACATTGCCAAAAAGGATCAAGTAAGAAGTAAGAAGGGAATTTGTGGATGTAGCTGAGGCACTGAATGATAGGTTGGAGATGAGGTTTTAGGTCATAGTGAGTATTACCTGAAGTTATGTTGATGAGATATATCAGCTTGATGGTAAAATGGACAGATGTGCATAGAAAACACACTCAATCGTATGATGGAAGCATACATGTATAAGGCCGAGAATATGTAATCAATGAAACCAAAAAAGGTAAAGTTTGGAAAGATCAAACATAGAGGTATTTAAGAGAGAAGCGAGACAATCGAGTGTGTACTGCGCAGAAGGGAAGAGTGGGAATCAAAAGGGATATTACATCTTCGCAAAATGGAGAGCGTGTATAATATCGGAACTACTGATCGAAAAGTAGAGGTAAATACACCGGTAATGGACAATAGTCACTGTAATTTTAAGTGTTGTGGAAACAAAGTATTTGTGTAATTAGTAAGATGTGGATGCATCCAAGAAACCTGTTGGAACGGAAGCCGAGAATAGTAAACTGATATAGTGAAAGACGTAAAATAGGTAAATGGGGATAAGAAAGTGAAGAATCTTGAACCTACAGTGAAGGCAATGTATTTACGTAATTAGTAAGATATGGATGCATCAATGGTATGTAGGTGGAACTGAGCCCGAGAAAGGTACATGGAATAAGAGGATATGTCGAATAAGTAATTGAGGATGAAGAAGTTGTTGAAGAATGTCTAAATGCGATGTTTGAGGCGAACATTAAGATACTTCACAAAAAAGGGGGAAAACTCGAATATAAAAAGAGACATCGTGAGCTCACCTTTGAAGCCCTACGCCCCTCAACAGCAAACCATGAAGTCGTATTTACGTCGATTGGTGGCTGAAACAGTAGGGGTGTCAATGTACGTTTGTAGCCTCCGGCTTTCAAGCAGAACTCAGCATTTATGTGTAACCCTAAGGGGAGGCATAAATGCTGAGTTTTTGCTTGAAAGGGGGGGTTACGAATTTACATTTATTTAATAAAGGGAAATCAATGGGAGTTACTGCTACAATCAACGCTGGACCAATTACGCTAAAAAAGCGTTAGGGTTGCTGGTAGCGTAACTTTTCACCACATCTAACGTAACACTTTCCGTTAGATGTGGTGATCTACGCTACGAGATCCTGGATTTTGTGATAACTTGGTATTGCTACGTTTGTAGCGTTAGCTGGGTCAGTACATCTACACTAACAGGCATTGAGATTTGACGTTAGCTGTGAACTTTGGTTAGCGTACCCCTGCACTGATTTAAGGACTTCACCCCCTGAAGGTGAATATCCCCATCACATCAGTTGTTACCAACTGATACGATAGATGTTGAGATGTGATAATCATCTGTGTACCCCTTCAACCCCAACACATTCACCCCCAACACACGAGTCCAATTTTTTGTTCAAGCCATTGTGGAAAGTTAAAGATCCCCGTTGGTGATACTTTCTTTTTTTCCTTCTCCAAAAATCTCCATCATTGCTTTGCCATGGTGGCAAACCCTTCTCAGAGGAGCTCTCAAAGCGAAGCTTCTGGTCCACCACGTAGATCTAATCGTATCATAACCCCAATGAAAAACACCTCCATGATTCCCACAGCTCCTGTTTGCCGTTCTTCCAATAATCACAAAAAGTCTCCCTCTGCTTCATTCATTTCTAGTAAAAAGAGACGCCAAAATGTTACATCAGAGGCTGGAGATGAATCAGAAGCTGAAGATACTAACAAGAAGAAGAATAAAAAGCAAAAAACGAGTCAAGCAGGACAATCACAACCACCTGTAAGTCGCCTGCTTCAAGTTCAGTATTGCATCATCCTATTATTAAGAGCTGTTTCTCCAACTTCCATCTTTTTCATGTATCTTCTATTTTATGCGCACCAAGCCCGAGGTTGATCTCACCCAATGTTCTGATGAGGAAAACAACCGAGTCCGCCGGAAAGATATTGATGATGATGGGTATGAGAAACCAAGTTTGCATTTTGGAACACCATATCACGAGGACAACAATGTGAGTTCATCTGTTTTATCTGGTTCATGATGTCTATAAGTAGCTCTTCATTTGATATGTACTGATGGTGATTGGTACGACAATGTTTCTTCTATAGGACAAATTGTTGAAACCTCTTTCTTACTTATGTTTATGGTGTAAAAAGAGGGCACGGATTTCTTTAACTTCTGACTTCAACCTTAAGGTCCACCGTGACGGTTCATCACAGGCAGGAAGGTCTGGCCATGGGTGTCCCAATCAAGCCTTAGCCATTGCAGCCGGTCACAAACTCCCCCTTTCGGTTTCCCAGCAACGTGCTCTCAAGAAATCCAAAGAGAAGGACACTCAAGTCTTGATCACCAAATTTGTCGGCCGAGAGAAGTTCGACAACCGAGTTTTAAATCAGTTACTCTCAATGTGGCAGGTTCATCATGCAATACCGTGGTTACGAATTCAGGATCCGTTACTCAAGCAAGCATTTAGATACGCTCGATCGGAGGCCAAGCTCTTTGGACGGAAGTGGGCTGCTGAAGAAGCCAACCGTCTGTACCTATCATTACGCACCTCTGTGATAGATGAGCTGAAGGTGTGTGTTTTTCCTTTATAATCTTTATCTCTATCGTTGCTCAATCTGATCGTTTTTTGTTTCCTTTTGTTTGACACAGGCATTACCCAGAAAGTTCACGGTAATCCATGATGTGTGGACTACTCGAGGGAATCGGTATGGGTTTATAACGGCGTCGGTTACTTACATCAACGAAGATTGGAAATATGTTGTTTGACATCTCACTCTGAAGTGCATTCCATGAGATTCCATGGCATCATAAGGGAGTTTGGCTGGTGCAACCTTTGGCCAACGTCTTTTTAAAACATGGCTTGAGCCATAAGATAAGTACTTTGACTTTTACGAACTCGTTTTTCCAGTTTAGCTAATCTTTTGGAGATATCTACTTATTGGCACAGACAACGGACTCGGGTTCCAATAACAACACAATGGCTATTGAAATGCATCGAATTTTTGAAGAAGCCTTAACAGACGAAGACCCCCCAATTGAATGGAAACCAGAATCCATGTCAATCAAGTGCTTTTGCCACATCTTGCAACTCGTCGTAAATGGAGGGTTGAATGCCCTTGGTATCAAGACAGTCGCACCTCGTGCAATCAAGCGCGCCACACTGGGCTTGTTCCCCAAAATCAACACCCTTCCTATTATCGATGAGGAAGTTGAGGCCGAAAGCAGCAACGAAGACGAGCCAAATGATGATGACTTACCGGATTCGACTCAACATACTGATGAAGATACTTGGGATAAAGCTGACCGACTCGATGACGAGTTTGAAGAGATGCAGGGCCCTCTTGATTCACTTCCAAATCCCGGAAGTGATTCTCTGGGTATCGATTTTGTGGAACCTGAGTCAGGTGTGCGCAATTCAGTATCGGCTGAGATTCTCAACACCATTCAAGAAAAGGTGTGTTCAAAATCAGATCTCTATGTGTAATTAATCTCCTAACGTTTCAAACTGATCGATGTGAATTTCACCAGGTGAAATGGATCTGTAGACGCATTACACGATCCTCGTCCTGGCGCGCAAACTTCAAAAGAGTCTCTGAACGTTGTGGTGATCAGATCAACTTTGAGCTCAGCAATTTATAGCTGAAGCTCTGAGTTGGCAACTGATCTTTCAACTTTGGTTGTTGTTATTTTTACTCACCATTATGACTGTCTCCAGACTCAGCAGATCGAGAGTTCAAGCAAATAGAAGAACAATTTTTTTTTTGGTTCAATTCATATATTGAGTTGCATATTATGATCACATTAAATGAATGAAGTTGAAAGATATTACATTAAACAAAGAAAGTTTGATACATTTGAATTTGAGTAAAAATTGATAGAAAAATTAAATAACCTAAATAAGAAATTTAAATCAAAGTTGTGATTGGAATATGGTCAAGATGAAGAGAAGTGAATGAGGGTGGTGGTGAGAAAGCTGAGGTGAAAGCAAGTCAAGTCAAAATCGAATCTTGTGGGCTGGAGGATGATCGAGGGGTACCTAGAAAAGGAAGATTAAGATATGAAATAAACAAATTAAATTAGATAAGAGTCAGTAAAATTCTTGAAGTAGAGATCGATCGAGAAAAGAACTTACAGTTAAAGGTTAGAAGTCAAAATCGAGGAAGAGATATAGAGATTAAGATTTAAGATTGAGTATGGGAGTTGAAGAGTGGAGTAGGAGCAAGGTAAAATTGTCTTGAGAAACCACGAAAAGAGTTCCGGAAGAAGATTTATCGGATGTGGGTTTTGATGAAGCAGGGTTTGATGGGGCAAATTGATTCAGATTTATGAAAGTATGGGTTCGATCGATTGGGGAGCTGGAGGTGGAGAAATCGAGAAGGTCAGCAAGTGATTGAGCAGGAAGAAGACTGGTAAGAACAGAAAAGAACAAAATTAAGTTAGCAAATGAATGAAAGAAAGTTAAAGATAAATAGGAAAAGAGAAGTGAAAGACTTACCTCGAATTCGAAGATGGGATCGAGATTGGAGGGAAAGGTTGAAGTAGAGGTGGAGACAAGCTGGATGGGATGTCCACCATCACAGATCGAGCAGATGGGAGAAATTGTGGTATATAGAACCTAAATAAAAGATTGGGGAAAGGAAGAGTGAGGTGATCAGCATGAGTTGAGTAATAAAAGGATGAGCAAGAAGAAAAAGAGAGTAAGTACCGGTGAATAGAAACCTAAATGAGAATCGAACGGGAATCCGGTTGCGATCGGAGTAAAGGTTGAAGAAAGATGGGGAAGGAGGACTTGGCTGATGCGAGGTTTTGGGAGTACGATGAGGGTATAAAAGGGAGGACTTCTTGAGCATATGAAGGGGATTCGTGTGGGGGGTGTGAATCAGTGAATTTTTCTTTTTTTTGTGATCGAGTTAAGAAAGTGAATTAAAAGAATCGAAGTGTTTCTTTTTGAATTCTTGAGTGTCTTGTGTGTTCTGTTCTTTAAAAGATAAAATAAGTGGCTTGATGAATTTTTTATTGTTTTAAAATAAGACTAGCAAATCGTTTGAGTGATTGATTGTGTTCTTGATAAGTTGTTGAGAGCGTAGTGTTTGATTGTTTGATATTGAAGTCTTGATCGGTTGCTGAGCCAGGGAGAAGACGTTGGTCTTATTATTTTTTTATTATTTTTTTATTTGTGTTATCTGTGTCACTGTTTGTGAAAGTTCAAACAACTCGGGGCCAACCTCGAGCACCGGTTCGAATCCCTTTCTCTCACCAAATCCGCCAATTTTAAAAATCCCTTCTGGACTCAACTTCGTCAGTTTATTCGAAACAATTATAAATTGTTAAACTTGGGTCAGAGTACCAAATTTCTGGAAAATCCCCGCCGCCGACAAAACCATCTCCCCCCTCTCCAATTGTAACAGTACATTGCGGTCTCAAAATCTGAAAGAAGTAAAAAAATCGAAATTTGCATAACTCCGGCTGTAGACGTTGTGTAGGCGTGTACTGTACATCGCCAGGCTCCGCCAGACTTTGCGCATCCATCTACGGGATAAACAAAGTTTTGCGGGAAAAATTCTTGAAGATAGAAAGTTGTTAGATTGCTCTGGTTCTTTTCGAACTGCAACAAAAGGTCAAGGGCAGCTTCACCGCACCCGTAGTTTCATCCGCTCTCACAGGTGGTGATTCTTACCCTCTCCGGCTCAGCCTACGCTACACTGCGTAGGAGTTCTACAATGTCTGGATATCAAAGTCCCTATGATTATCCCTGGTTATGGGATCCGCTGGGGCTGTGAGTATCAAGCTCTCGAAAAAGCTTATAATGCTCGATCGGTGTGTTGTCTATTGTTTCCTATGAATCTCAATTTCAATCTCGATTTCATTCTTCAACTTATATTTATAATTTGTTTTACATCATCAGGTGATTGATCAAATGCTCAAAGAAGACTTAGAGCTGGTCTTATCTAAAAGCCGATGTCGCCGCGAAAACGGCAAGCCACACGGCTATTTTCACGAAAAACAAATGGCACCATTTGAGTGGGCCACACTACGCTGCCTTCCTGATGTTCTGGAGGTATGTACAAGTATTCAAAATACCTATCTCAATACTTTGAGCTGATGCAGGCCCTACTTTTGCTATTAGCCCTTTTTGCACATAACCAGGAGGATGGAAGGTGATGCACCAACCGGTGCTTTAGTGCTGTCCGAGTTTGTTGAACTTAAGACACAACTCACTGAGAAGCCGGCCTCTTACCGTGAAGGCAAAGGGCTCCACGTGATGCTCAAAGCGATGTTGAAGAAAACCAATACTTATCTTTCAAATGCTCTCAAATGCGAGCCGCTTGTTATGGCTGCCTTACTCAACCCAATGCTTGGAATTGATTTCTTCCGATCATCATTCCCTCACGATCCTGCAATTGCGATCGACGCCGAAGTGTTACTCTCTCAAATGTACGATGAACGAAAGGCAACAATGACAAAACCTGCAACTCCAAGTCTTGAACCAACAATAACACCCCAAGCTCACACTCAAAATCACACTTGTGTCTATCAAACTTCGAAGAAAACTTCAAATACAGATGTCAATGAATTAGAATCTTATTTCAAAGATGAAGATTTCATACCCGAGGATCAATCTCATGATCCTCATAGTATCCTTGCTCGGTGGAAGGTAAGTCCATCTTTTGAAGACTTACTCTCTCTCTCTCTCTCTCTTAGTACTCACTTTTGTTCTTTCAAACAGAACAAGCAAACCAAGTACCCAGTTCTTGCATCACTCGCTGGCAACTATCTCGCTTGCTGCAGATCGTCGGCTCCCGCGGAGCGCACCTTTTCAGCAGCAGCTGATGTTTGTGCAAGCAATTGAGGATCACTTCGACCGTGTAATATTTAAAGGCTTGTAGGAAGCCAAATGTGGCTACGTGGAGGTGTCAGATTGAGTGGAAGTCAATGGGCCGAATTACAAGCCCTTGCTGACATGGCCTATGGGAAAGTCGATTGATCTGCTTAGTGTTTTTTTACGTTTTCTTAGCTGTTAACGCGTTTTTGTAGCGCATTACAACTACGTTATTGTAATGGCAATTTTTGTGTTAGCTTGTCCAAGTTACGCTACTTCAAAAGTGTTAGCTCACGGCTGCCAGGAAAAACATTATTGAGTTAATATGTTAGCTTCCCCATCTACGCTATCCGGATTGGTCCGGATAGCGTTGAGTAGCGTAGTGATCCAGCTTTGCATCAACAGAAGTGTTAGGAGAGGGCTGAAGTGCAAGCAATGAGGAGGTTGGAGGTGTAGCCTGGTTGAATATGTGATCGGAGGTAATGTGGTAGCCCGCATTCCCACTTTGAAGTGCCCTATTCCGGAAATTGATACTGCGAAGTTGTTTGATGCCCAGATTCACTGCGGCTGCGGTCAACTTTGGCAGAGTCGGGTCCGGGTTGTGTGAGAGAAGCGCAGATAAGTACCAAAACCTGACAGGGCATCGGGTTTACAAAATTGGTTGCCAAATAGTGTTGTCCTATAATGATTTGAGGTCCTCACAATTATCTTCAGGATGTCTAGTCATGTTGATTTGACCTGATTAAGTTGATTTAGTGGGGTGTGTAAACGGCCTGGTTTCAGATCCTAGAGGTTGGTAAGCAGCTCCTTTCCCATCCTATTTTTCCTTTTACTGTGATAATTGGGTATATTCTCTCTTGAAGCCAATATGACTACTTCACCATCACCGGTAACCTATTAGTCAACCACAGGTTGAACTTCTTATGGATGGATTGGGATGAATGTAGTTGAGGAAGAGTCAGGGATGAAACATGGAGTTGAAGAGAGAGTTGACTGGATTGGGGAAAGGAGAGATGAAGTTTTTCACCTATATGTACTCTTCATCTGTTCACAAATGTTGTTCCCCTTTTCTTCATCTGAACTTTTTACTCTCTTACTTTCAAGCTCATTTCCTCAACATTTCATTGCCCGCTTGGGACAGGTTAGCCTTTTTAGTAGTTTTTCTTTCTTTTGATTCCACACCTTTTGTTAATCACTGTTATCCTCAGTATCACTCTCACTTTGTTATTCTGAGCATTAGTTCTAACAGACCTTCCAATGAAGTTTCTCATTCTCTACAGCGTATCCACAACACTCACAGCCCCCAAAACCTTCTCTCTGGCCACCCAAAGGGGTCCCTTACCCCTATCAAAGTTTTGGTTGGGACATCAAGAAAATACCCACATGATTCTTGGAAAATCTGGGGAGCACCAGGAGTCCATCCAGTCCAAACTGCGCATTTAGTTCTTGAAGGCTCCAGCTCAATCCGAATTCTTCCAAACATCCACTTTGAAGATATTACATGCAAGATTAGATGTAGTCAGTTGTACCAAAGCCCCTTCCTGAAGAGAATGATTTGATGCTCCTGGCTCATATTGATTCAATAAAGCCTACATATTTTATTGATCAGCATGATGATCCTCCTTGACTTCATAGCTCCTCAAGAACCTTCAGAAGTGGATAAGGTGAGGTTCATTCAAATTTGCTTGTTTTTATGCTGAATACATTGGAGGCAAAACTTTTGATACACCTGATATCATCTCAATATGCAGGTTTTTTGACAGGCCAAACTTCACACTGTTGTGGTTGGACATAAAATACATAAGTTATCTCCCCTAACCATCAGTATACCCTCCTGCCAATACATTGTTGACAGAGGTCCAGTGAGTGTGCCACTCTTTTTCAGGTGTGCTGGGTGTACTAATCAAGGACCCGTTGGACATGGGACTTCTTTATAGACCTCTAAGGAGAGGGTTTGAGGAAGGAAGAGAGAGGGAAAGGGAAGTGAAGAGCTAATGTGCTCTAACACTACGCCAGATTGCAAATTTACCGCTGAGTTTAAAGAATTAAAAAGACATAGAAAATTATACACAAGGCAGAAGGGGTCAAAAAAATATGGAAAAATAAGGGTTGCATTCCCCTGTGTGTGCCCATCATTTTGCATATTTTTAAAGATTTTTACGGCAGCAGTGTATATTCGGTCAGAGACTCAGTTTATGTCCAAAGCTGGCATTCATGGAGGCATTAACCTTGTGAGACCAATCAAATTGTCAATTTTGTGTCAACATCTGGAATGTCTGCACATTCTGAAAGCTGCATTTTTAATTTACCAGATACACATTAGAATGAGTGGTGTGTATCCAAAAATGAAGAAGGTACAGCAATCAACATCCCCAACAGCAAAGCTAGAAAACCTTATAAATCTGTCCCGCAAGGGTTTTAGCATCCAAATGGAAACTGTAGATCCAGTATGCGGCCTCTCATAATCTGCAACTGCCAGTTTGATTGAAAGAAAATTGTTGTATTTGTGATTGTTGAAAAGTTTCTGCCCAAGCCTGGGTAGTTTTGGCCAAAATTTGAGTTTCTGACCAAATACACCCCAAAATCATTTTTCTATGTAACATCTTCAAAACTCAAGGTAAAAATATGAAAAAATATGCAACATGATGGGATATCAAAGACTGATTCAACCATATTTTCTTCGAATTTTTCCTACCTCTCATGCATTGCTGAGAATTTTCTACATCTTGACTTTTCTAAACTCCATGGTATATTATTGATTTGGCGTAGTGTAACCTTGTGAGACTGTAGGAGGAAGGCTTCAAACTTTGGTAAACCTAAGATCTTGAAGACTGCTTTAGACTACTCAAAAAGGAGGAAGCTTTGCTGCTTGAAGGTTTATTTCTAGAGATAATGAGTCCCCTGGTCTTGTAGCAATCAGTACTGAATCTGGGTCCCAGGGACCAGATTCCCCTTCTGTTACTGTTACACAGCCTAAGAAATATTGCCTGAGTAGTCATTGTGATATATGTAGTCAATTTTTCAAAATGCTTGTCACAATCTGAGCAAAATTACAACATGTATTACATGTAATTTTCCTATCCAGATGAACAGATAACTGAGCTGATGTGTATGTAGCTGTGAGTCTTGTCCAGTCATGCATCAACTTGTGGTCAAAACTTGGGGTGGTTTCATTATGTATCCAGTACATCACGTTGGGTTTAAGTGGCTCTTGACACTGAGCTATGGAATGCTCCTACCAGGGCGTCTGACAAAAAAGGTAGATTTTTGTGAGCCTAATAGTGTCTGTG